GCATCCCAGGCTGCTAGGATGGTCCTCCATGCCGGGCAGGGCAGGCCTCTAATGGGGTTTCCCTGATCAGCAGCCTCTGCCTTAGCAGTCCAAGTTCTGCCTGCCAGCCTGCTCCCTAACCGCTGCAGCTCTCTGGTCCCCAGCAGCAAGCAGGGCAGGTGGTCCCAGGCCACAGAGGAAAGAAGGCGATGGGGTGGTAAGCTCCTGCCCTAGGGCCAGACCTTAGATTCAGAGCCCAGGCCCTCTCAGCAGCTTTGTGACCCTGAGTGAGTCACAGAACCTCTCCAAGCCTCAGTTCCCTCACTTATAAGGTGGGGATCATGGTACCAACCTCACAGACTAGTGAGGTTTGGATTGTCTCACATAAGGGCTCCAGAAGTAGTAGGGGTTATTTCCCAGGCAGTTTCTACGCTTTGTTCCTTGCGTGTTGTCTCACTTTAAAGCAGTTGCTCCCCAGAACGTTATTCTGGCGACCCTTGTGGAATACCCAGGCGCTCTAGAGTCTGAAGAGAAAGGTCTGGGGCTGAGGTGTTACATTACAGAAAACAGGTATGTTTGGTGGAAACTGCTTTTACTCATGGAGAGCTAGCCCCGGAAACTGGCCACTAGATGTCAGCTTTGCGCCACGGCGTGAACAGGCCCGTCCTGCTGCCAGGCATCGTCGTCAACACAGTGCTGGCTCGCTCCTGGCCGTGTTCTAGGTGCCCATCTTATATCTCGGCTGCCCTCAGAGGTAGGTAATACTATCCCCACTTTACACGTGAGGGAGCAGGGTCGCCCGAGGTTAAACTGCTAGGAAGTGCTAGAGCCCGGATTTGATTACGAGCAGCCTGGCTTCTGAGTCCATGCTCTCAGCCTCCACTCTCATCCCACCCCCCTCACCATTCATAAGACAAGGACACCTGCCGGTTTCCTGAATCCTTTTCAGCTGCTTTAAATAGGGTGCCATAAATATTTAGTTCAATAGCAGTAATTTATTTTCCCTAAAATTGCACTGTAAAATGCTGATTCAAAAATCCATCTCCATTAGCTATTATTATATGTATTCTATAAGCTCATGAGGTCAGAACTTTCCACTGCTCTCACCACTGACAAATGGTACCCGGCACAGTGCTTGGCACATAGTAGGTATACAATAAATATGCCAATGACTGAATGAGTGAGTAAATTAAATGTACACATTGAATGGTAAGATAGTCTAATGATGAAGCGCATGGACCTGGCACCAGCTTGCCAGGGTTCAGATTCCAGTTCTTCTTCAGAAGCTGTGTGACCTTGGACAAGTTATTTAACATCCACGTGCTTCATCTGTAAATGGGGGATAACCACAGTACCTCCTTCAGAGGGTGTTGTGGTAAATGAGTTAACTGAGAACAGTGCCTGGCACGCACTCTGTTGACTGCTATTATATTCTTATGTATAACATTTATACCATATGAGACCCTCAGGAAGACCCCCAAATAGGGCCAGAGTTCCTGACTTCCCTGTGTAACAAATTGTCCTTTTCAAGGAAAGCATATGTGGCAGGTTATATTTTCCAAAAAACCCCAAAACCAGTATCTCCTGACCCACATGCTCCTCTAGAACCTTACCACTCCCCCCTCGAGAGGTAGTCTAATTCTCCCCCACTGGAATTTGGGGGCTTAGGATTCGCTTGTAGCTGATACAATGCAGCTGAAATAATGCTGTGTGACCTCCATGGCAAGGCCTTAAAGGGCAGTGTAGTGCCCGGTTTTTTAGCTGGAACAATCCTCTGTGGAGCCCCGAGCCTCCGTGTAAGAAGTTTGCCTAGCCTGAGGCCGCTGTGTGGGGAGGAAGCCTAAGGCCCTGTGGTGAGGCCACGTGCACCTCTTCCAGCTGAGGCCTCAGCTGAGGCCCCAGATGAATGAAGACAGACACTGTAAGGAATCCCAGCCATGGGGTCGCCCCCAGCTCCCGAGTTTCTTCCTCACTGAGGCCCCAGACATTGTGGAACGCGACGAGCTGTCCACCCTATGCCCTTCCAAATTCCTGACCCACAAAATGGGGAGAATAATAAATATGGTGATTATTTTATACCACCGAGTTTGGGGTATTTTGTTATACACCAATCAGTAGTAACTGGAACAGCCTATAAGATTGCTAGACAGGGGCCGGCCCGGTGGCGCAGCGGTTAAGTGCGCACGTTCTGCTTCAGCGGCCCGGGGTTCACCGGTTCGGATCCCAGGTACGGACATAGCACTGCTTGGCAAGCCATGCTGTGGTAGGTGTCCCACATATAAAGTAGAGGAAGATGGGCACGGATGTTAGCTCAGGGCCAGTCTTCCTCAGCAAAAAGAGGAGGATTGGTGGCAGATGTTAGCTCAGGGCTAATCTTCCTCAAAAAAAAAAAATGATTGCTAGACAGTGAACATATATATATACACACTAAAATATATATATATATATATATATATATATGCAGAAGTTCTCTCTACTACTCCTAAAAAGATGGGCTCCACACCTGCCTCAAAAAACATGTGACTCCTGCAAGTCCCCTGCCTGCAGCCTCAGCTGAGGAGCTCTGCTCCCTTATCTGATCCATATGTCTTTATAACTAACCACTTTGTGTCCCAAATAAAGCAGAGAGAAGTTGTGGCTGAAGTCACAATAGGTCTATAATTTCTGCCTTGGGAGGCCCTTTGCTGGAATAGCCACCAGATTGCCCCTGCGGCAGTTCCGCTGGACAGGAGCGACTTGGCTGGGAGCAGAACCCCTCTCTGTCCACCTCCATCCACTTCCAGAATCGTTCAACTACCTCGCCTTCAGCAGGAAGCGGGTAATAAATAATAAACCCTAAATAGTACTCGCTCTGTGGCAGGCACTAATTTAACCCTCAGATAACTCTGTGAGATGGGCGTTATCATCCCTTCCTCATAGATGAGAAGGTACACAGGTACAGAGGTGAAGTAACGTGTGAAGCAACAGTGAGTCAGTGGTGGAGCCAAGATTTGGGCCCAGGCTCCCAACCAGTCGGCTACGCAGCCTTTACTCCAGCTAACAGAGGGAGTCTTTGATATGCATCTCAAATAAGTCATGGAATGTAAAATTCAAAAGGCATGAACGCATATATAGTAAAAATAAGTCTCCCTTCAAGAACCTAGGTAAAAGACTGTTAATAGTCTTTTAGCAATAGAAGTGGCTTCCTTTTATTATGCCCATCAGATACCGTGCAGAGAGTACTTTATTTCATCTCATTTATCGTCATAGTAACCTAAGGAAGTAGTTATTAACTCCATTTTACACATGAAAAATGGGAGCTCAGAGGACTGAACTTGCTCAAGGTGACAATGCCAGTAGAGTTAGTGTGTGAACGCCGATTTCTTAACTCTAGAACCACCTGTGCTGATGCCCATTCCATCGCGCTCCAGCACCTCCCTCTGGTCGAATGGCCAGCAGCACAGCACCACCTGGGAGCCTAGAAACGCAGAATGCGGGCCCCACCCCGGACCTGCTGAATCAGAATCTGCCCTTTTATTCGAGATCCCCCAAGGGGAAGGGGGTTGTCCAGGTTGGGAAGCTTCACTGGCCTCCCGTTTGTCTTAGCGCAGCCACCTCCGGGCGGCACACCGAGCCCCGCAGGAACCTCGAGGCCTGGTGTGCAAAGTGCACTCATCGCGGGGTGCTGATTTAGTTTCTAACTCTCAGAAATAGCACTCCTTCAGGGACAGGCACAGCCTGAAGTACTAACCGTAACTGCCACTTACACAGGTGCTTACTGTGTGCCAAGCGCTGTTCTGCTTTCACTTGGTGAATTCTCAGTACTATTATCCCCATTTTATAAATGAGAAAACTGAGAACAGAGATATTAAGTAATTTGCCCAAAGTCATAATAGATAGAGGGGCTTGGATTTGAAACCCATGTCCGCCATTCATAGCTTCTTGAACGGTAAGCAGCGCTGACGTTCTGTTCCACCCAGTCATTAGTACTTCAAACTCGCTTCCGGACGGTCCAGCTTTACTTTCCCTCAGAGTCTTCTGACATTTAGTCTCCTATTCCTCACTGTTGTTTCTCTTCGAAGGAACTTTCTCTATTCTAGAAGCACCTGTCTGCCTCAGAGCAAGTGATCACAGATGTCCCTTTGAGAAAAACTGCATTTAGTGGTTCAGAACGCTTAAAAAAACAGTCATGAGCAGGTGACTCAGCGCCTCTTGAATTGGCAGGTGGGGCAGAAGGGAGCCACTGGGGTCAAGGCTCAGAGCTTAAGAAGTTGATCATTTAAGGAAAAGCACTGTCTCCCCTGTCAGCTCGCCACCTCCTGCAGTCTTCTGAAAGAGGTCAGACACCAGCTGTTAAAACATGGATGCCGTCTGCTCTATTCTCAGGCTACTCTTAGGACTTTGTCAAGCATTCCGGAGAAATCTTCCTGGAGTTAAAACTGCTGAATAAAACAATTACATTGGCCCTGGGCCAGATAACATCAGTAAGTACTCTGGCAGGTTTTTTCTTGAGGAAATAAAGATAACATGACAAAGCCTGATTGAAGGAGCAGGCTTAGGCTGCCCAAAACCCTACACCAAATCCACAGGCCTGACTTAGAGACAAAGAGAGAGAGAAAGGCCTGGGAAACAGAATGGAACCAGACCAAGCCGAGCCCGTTGTTTAAATGTAATTCTCTGAAGTGTTTATCATGAAATAGTTGACATACAAAAAGGCAGAAAGAATGTTACCATGAACATCCATATACCCAGTGCCCAACTTATGAAGCAAAACATAACCAATAGATCCAAGCCCCCTGTACACTTGCTCCCGCTCCCGACTGCCTCCTGTCCTTCCCTCCAGAGTTACCATTATCCTAAATCTGCTGTTTCCTGCATTACCCTGGAGTCTTTTTTTCAAAGAAAACAAAGAGGAGAAAATTAACAAGGCTAGAAGGAAACTGAGTCAAATGTAATGAAACTAGCTGCAAATCTTTCTGCCAATGGGGATGCTGGCTCAGTGTGGCTGAGATGAGAATACGGATGAGTCTGGAGAAAACGTATAAATATAATGTAGCTTTTATTAAGTAGAGGAAAAAGGGAATTCACCTGCATGATACAAAGGTTCCAGTTTGATCAAATTCCACAAAAACCCTTCCCATCTATGTGATAGGAGCTGCTGCCTCCCCCATCCGCAGGGACGTGTGGAAAGCCCGGCTTCAGGCAGCTGGTTTGCGCCATCACGAACATGATCACTTCCTGGTCAGTCCCAAGAGACAAGGGCAGAGGGCATGACGGTTCTCACAGAACTACCTTACAAATAAACTCAGGTTGACTTTTTCAGGAGTCTCTTACAACACTTTAAGAGATGTGAGCAGAAAATAGGGCAAAGGGCCATGTAAGCAGTGCTGTGTGGCAAATGGAATGTCCTGGTCTATGGAATCGTGGTGGGTAACACAAGGAGTCTGATTAGGCATTGTACGAAGAGGATGACACACTGCCGCCATGGCCTGTCCAATTAGTGTGGATAAACTGTCCGGGTTTGGCTAAGAGTTCATACGTGTGAGCCCCAAAGTAATCCCGCTGAGCCTAGAAAACAAGAAAGTAGTTTGGTTAGGATAATCCAGAGGCACACGACCCTCACATACCAGCCAGGTTAATGTTTACCACCTACTCCAAAGCCTACCTGGATTAGGTTGGCTGGTAGCATTTCATGTCTGTATCCATCATAGAAGGAAAGAGCAGTGGTGAAGCAGGGCATGGGAATGCCCATCTGGACACCAGTACTGACTGCCCGCCGCCAGGAGTCCTGAGCAAGAAAAAGCCAAAGACTAGTGATCAGCCCACAGAAAAGATAACTGGTTCCATTCTAAATGACAGATTTTCATACACATCAATACTGGTAAATGAAAAAGACGCCCCCAGAGCAAAACCCCCAGAGACAGAGTCCCCACCACCCCGCTCAGGGCTACGGACCTGGCAGCTTTCAACAGCCGACCTGAAGAAGTCATCCAGCAGCAGATTCTCAAGTTCTGGGTTTCGATCAAATGCATCTTTTATTTTTCCTAGGAACACACTGAAATAATTAAGAGGGAGGAAATTAATGAACCTTACTTATAGCAGGCTGAATGCCAGCGAAAAGTTGGAAGCTGATAGATACCCTAGAGAGGATCAAAGTTACAGTTCTCACCCCTTAAAGCTGGCTGTACACTCAGTGAAAACAGAGAGCCAAAGAGAGGCAAGGCCAGTGGGCACGACAGTGCTCACGGGACTACTTTAAAAGGTGTAGCATAGACAATCCAGAATAAGTGACATACAGGAAAAAAAGTGAGATGTGACAATCCAAGCCTGTCTTGTCGCCAGGGTACCAGTGAGAGGACTAACCCCATCAGGTATAGGGAAGTGTTCACACAAGTGCCCGAAGAGCACAGTTCTCCGGCACAGAAGCGTGGCGGTCCCTCCCCTCACTCACCTTCTGATGATGCAGCCGCCCCTCCACATCAGGGCAATGCCGCCGTAGTTGAGGGTCCAGCCAAATTCAGTGGCTGCCTGTCTTAGCAGCATAAAGCCCTGAGCATAAGAGATGATCTTGGAAGCATAGAGGGCCTGAAGAATGACACAAGACATGAGAGTTGCAATGAGCAGAGTAATCGCCTTATGTCTACCAGCCATGTCACCCCCCGCAGTGCAGACCCTAGAAAGGACAAGAGTCTGGGAAAATGCTGCAAATCGGATCACCCGGTGGCCTCAGGATGCTCTCCTTCAACAGCCCCCACCCCACTGCCTTCCAAGGGACCAATGACAACCGTTGGTAGGGACTGAGCCCACCTTTCGAATGTCCTCCAGGAAAGATTTCTTATCACCTTCAAACTGGATCTTTCGAGGACCCTTCAGCTTCCCGCTAGCTTGAATCCTCTCATCCTTCAGAGACGATAAGCATCGAGCAAAGACCGCTTCTCCTACATGGGGGCGGAGAGGGAAGAGAGAATATATCCGCGAAGTTCACACATGAGACAGAGGGAAAAGAATACACACAAGCCAGAGAGAATGAGGAAAAACAGCAATGGAGCAGGACTTCCAGTTTTACAGAGAATTCCAAGTCTCAACCTTAGGCCACAAAATTTAACCTGGATCAGAAAGAACTCTTATAAAAAGCTCTGAACAGTTAATTTGATAACTAAAACTCCAAGTCAATCTTCCAACATAAATATAGGTTTGTTTTGTGACTTTTTAAAGATTTTATTTTTCCTTTTTCTCCCCAAAGCCCCCTGGTACACAGTTGTGTATTTTTAGTTGTGGGTCCTTCTAGTTGTGGCATGTGGGATGCTGCCTCAGTGTGGCCTGATGAGTGGTGCCATGTCCGCGCCCAGGATTCGAACCGGCGAACCCTGGGCCACCGGAGTGGAGCACGCGCACTTAACCACTCGGCCACAGGGCCGGCCCCTAAATATAGGTATTTAACCACAAAGCTCACCATGAAATTCAAAGAGGAGCTTGGGGGCAAAAACAAAGAGGTAAAACCACTATTATTCAGAATTACTCCATGTTGGTCCATGAGTAAAACTTCAATTTCAATTGATAGGACCTTAATTTTTCAGTGCTCACCAAAGACTCATTCATTTTCTTTTAAAGCACTAACTACCCATCAATTTGAAACAACTGTTGAGAAATAACACACAGAATGACCCCTCAAAAATTCCACCTTCTAATTCTTGCACTTTACAGTATGTCTCTGATCACCATTAAATTTCACAATTTTACTTCATTTGAATAAAAAACATTTCAATATAGTATTTTAATATTAAGACATTTAATATCTTCAAAAATTCTCCCTTATAAAAGACTGTTTGCTCAACTGACAATTTGTATAATTAGAATAAATTACTCTGACCATTTTTTTTCTTTTCCCACAGACAAAATGAAGTCAAATTTCTGGGAACTTTTCTTTTTGAGGACTTTCTTTTTGAGGAAAGGGTACTAGCCATCAACTTGAGAACACTACCCAAGCTTGAAACACACCAAAAGCAGGTGCCTTCCCCTCCTTGCCCAGCACCCGCGTGGCTCCTGCGATGCACACACGATGACTTAGCACTTCTGGGAGGAAGCTTCGTAAGACAACTGGCGCAAGGAGGCAAGTGTGGCGAAACCCTTGAGCGTTACCCAAGGGTCAGCTGAAGACTAACTTCCCCATTAGTTCAGCAAACAAAAATGGCACCCGTCCAGGGACTCGGCCTGGCCGGCCTGCAACTGGTAGAAAGGGTACAAAGTCTCTAAACCAAGAGCAGGATTCTTTCTGAGACTGCACTACTCTTCTAGTTGAGTCAGTGACAAGTAAACTGCTCCCAGCTATTGTCCCCTCAGTCCTCTGCCCAGGGTGGCACTCAGATTAGCTAAAAAGCAGCCAGCTTCCTTCTACATAGAGCCAGACTAATGAACCCACTTCCCTCCTTACTGGGCCTCACAACCCGGAAGTTCTTTGTAAAGAGGCTGAGGCATAATAATCAGGAATCAAAAGGAGGGAGGAGACGGGAGGGAGTGGCGACCTGCAGCTGGAGGAGCAAACAGGAAAATTTGTTTTATTACGAGGGGAGCCATTCTGCCCGGAGCAAAGATCAGCCTTTCCGTAAACATGCTGGGCACCTTTTCTGATTCTCCTTTTTCAATCTTGCCAGAAGTGTATCTATTTTATTCTTAAAGAACCAACTTGTGGTTTGGTTAATCTTATTATTAATTTTTCTGTTTATTTCTTTTATTATTCCCTTCTCTTTATATCTTTTTGAGTTTGATGCTTAACTCATTAATATAAAAAACATGAAAGGGAAGGGCATACACCAATGTTAGGATAATGATTTTCTTCTAAAAGAAGAGAGGTAAGGAACTTAGGAAAAGAATACTGAAGAACTTGAAATGTATACGTAATATTGCATTTTTAAAATATCTAGAGGGAAAAAAACATCCTCAGCAAAATATTACAATAAATGCTGAGTAGTACATAGGCTTATGTTATTCTGTGAACTTTTGTACCAAAAATTCCATTACAGTTGCCTTCCCCATTAAAAAGTCTTAGGCCACTGACCACATTTATATCACTAATGCTAAAACTATCTCAAAGGTCAAACTGGCTAAGACAGACAGTAATGTGTGAATTTGTGTCAAAGCTCATATGACTGGGAGAAGGATCAAAAGAAGAGATTCAGAAGCAGTTTCAGCCTCTCTCACACCGTGAGCTTTTCATATGCAAACAGAAACAGCTCGGAAAGCTGAGCAAGGTTGAACAGATTCTCTCAAGACCCGGGCCTTAGCTGCCAGTCTATATCAACATTCCAGAAGGACATCAGGGTCAAAGCAGTGAGAGCAAAGGGTACAAGTGAAAGCTGAACATTACCGATGAGGGTGACGGGAACACCGTACTCCAGGGCCGAGATGGCAGTCCACTTCCCAGTGCCCTTCTGCCCCGCACTGTCCCTGATCTTTGGCAGCAGGTACTTGCCATCGGTATCTTGAAACTTGAGAATATTGGCTGTGATTTCAATCAGGAATGAGTCTAGCTCTGTCTTATTCCACTCCTCAAATGCCTACGTGCAGGACGTAAGGAAACAATATGAGAGAAGCAAGGATCATACAGAAGGTCCCTTAACTGACTCCTTGTCTTATGTAAAAACTGACGAGTGCTCACAACTGGCTCAGCACCGAGGCTCACAGGCTCCTCTCTACTCTGCCCCGATACTTCTGCTCCCCCCAGCTGAGGCTTCCGCTAACCAAGAGTCAGTCGTGTTTGGTTTGCACCTGGTGATGCTGATTTTCTGACGACCACAACTGTTCCTTCCTGAGCACACGCTCCTCCCTCACCTCCTCAGAGGCCTGCCTGGGTCACCTCTCACACCCACGTCCTCTTCTTTCTAACAGTCACCATGAACGGGTTTTGTATGCTTTCTGTCATCATTACTGCCGGTCTCCCCAGCTCCGTGAGGGTGGGGCTATGTCTTCTCACAGTCGCACCCCAACCTGCCCGGCCTGCAGGAGAGCACTCACATCTACGTGCTGAATGAATACGTTAACTCTTATACAAACCAATTAAATATGAACACAAAAAGCAAAGCACTGTTTCTATGAAAACAAAGTTAACTTGTTTTGGAAAGAATGATACAGGCAAGTCAATGAAACAAAATACATGGGGACGACAAATTTTGAAATTAGGAAGAAAAATGTAAAAAATTTGGAAGGATTCTGTACTGTGTACCTTACCAGTAAGTGTCTTTAAATCAGGTTCCACTTGAAATAGTTGAAACTAGAAATTCTAGATGAAAGAAAGATGACTAGAACGCAATCAGAACCACACTTAGAGAAAAGGACAACTGGTGACTGACTGTACCTTCCTGGACTTTCAATAAGACAAATGTTTGCCGAGTTAACAATGCCAGAGTATTCAGAGAAAGGAGTACTGATGTCTGTGGTTTACTTTGAAATGTACAAAAAAAGTCAAATGGACAGAGGGCCGGACAGAAACTCGACAAACCGAGTGCAGCAGAACGTTAATGGCAAAATCTAGGTATTGTGTACACAATGTTCAAGGTCAAATTCAACTTTGCTGTATATGAAATTTTTCATAGTAAAATGTTGTGGAAAATGCTTATGTTTCCCCACTTTGACGGACTTTTCTGATTAACTGTCAAAAAGCCAGTCCCAACTTGTTCAGAAAAGAAAGCTTATACCGCACCTCCCAGATGGGAACCAGGAGGATCAAGTGAGACGTACATAGTGACACAGCGCCTGACACACAGTAAGGGTCACTAAATGGTGGTAATGATTACCACCGAGATTCTTTGGGAAATTCTGGCTTAGTGACTAGCTATCATATTTTACAGTCCTGTTACTGGCAGCTTCCCTTAAATTAGACTCAGGCCATCCAGGCTACCAGAATGACCAAGGGAGAAAGAATGAGGAAGGATTTATTGTCACCGGCAAATCCCTTCTCCTCTGAGCAGGGATTACTCACTGCAGCCTGAGGACAGGGCCTGGGCCTCACCTTTGCCATCTCGTTATGCTCCATGCCCAGAACGTCTTTCATCAGATGGTAAGCTTCACAGATCAGCTGCATATCGCCGTACTCTATGCCATTGTGCACCATCTTCACAAAGTGTCCTGCTCCCTCGCTTCCCACCTGTTCAAGCGACACAGCAAGAGGCCTTCAGAGGCAGGGAGCACCCAGCAAAGCCCGCAGCAAGTTCTTGGGCCAGGCTCCCTCCCCATACAAAAACAACAAATATCTTCATAAGAGTCACTGTATAACAATTTAACACAAGCTTCAATCGAGTCCAGTGTTATTTTAAACTAACTCTAAATCCATTCCTCTAAAGATTTTTCAAAATTCCCAAATTCACTTAAAGTAGCTATAGCTCTCTGCCCTCCATATTCCATTCTTTCTCATTGTTATTAAAAGCAACTCCCCAGCCCCCACCCACAAATAAAAGAAGTCTTCTTTTTCCCCCTAGGTTACCACTTTTCTGGCAACTAAAGGTTACCATAAGTTGTCTAATTAAATCACTTGTACTTTTTATATCATTTAATAACATAAATGTATTACAGTTGTTCCTAGTGGCCACTGAAAGGTAAAATGAGCTTAGATCCCAGGTCTGGCCCTCAACCTTGTAAGCCCAGAAATGGGTTCTTGCCGGGGTCTCATAGTTGACAAAACATCGATTTATAAGAAAACTGGCAAGATGTATAAAACCAGAAAACCAGTTTATGAATTTACTACAAGAAATTTAACTATGGATTTCGGCACTTACAAGTGTTAGTCAATCAACACATTCTGCCCTACAGACGAGCCACTGGGGAAGTCAAACTGAGAACTGTTTAGTGGGCTAGGAATCAGAACAAAGTGGGTGGCAGGGGTCAAACATTTAATGGCATCAGGATCTGCAATGACATGCATCCATCTCCAAGCCAGGGGTACACCTGCCCGATGGACCAGATGTCTGGGTGCCCTGAGCACCCCCTCTCCCGGCAGCCACTGCTTGGACCGATCCACCGACGTTTACATCAGAGACCTCCTTTGTCTGTTATCACTGCTGACCTACCCCCTTCTGATTGTGACACCTTCTCTGGCCAGGAAGTAACACGGCTAATAACATCTTACTTCACACCCCATCCTTCCTGTAACTTCAAAAATGAACTAAGGAGTGCCCGCTTTTAGTATCTATACCAGTTTTTTCAATACCCTGAGACTAAGCCTTGAGGCTATGGAAAGTCAACCCTGACTTGACCAAGACACATAAGGACAAGTACTGGGGTTTTTTTCATGATTTTGTCCAAAGTATATCTAAAAAGAAGTTACTGACACTGTACTTTTATTGTAGTATTGTACGGTTAAGGAATGAAAGTTCCCTCCCCAGTCCTTCATACTAAAGAGAACATTACTCAACCCAGCCTCTCTCTACCCTACAGATTCTGACTGAACTCAATGAGCACTGGCTGAAATGGAGGACCAGCTTAGTGACCAGGCAGTCAGGACTTCCTCATTCCTCATGTGCCCTAGTGCTTTTTTCATCTCTACCTTTTATCTCACATAAAACAAAACTAATACAATAAAAATAGCATATAGAAATGCTGATACAAAATTAAAGGGGATTAGGAGCTAAAGAGATCTTGAAGATCGTCTAGGCCAAATCCCATATTTTATAGACAAGAAAACTGAAGCCCATGTAAGTTTTCTGGCTGACTTGCGTGATGTCACCCCGTTAGTTAATGGAGAGCCAAAATTACCACTCAGGCCCCCAGCCTAGAGTTCTGTCCACCCATGGTGTGGACTGAGGCTCATAAGGGATAAAACTTACTTCAACAGCAACACAAAACACAGGAAGTGGAGGTATGTGTGACCGAGTCAGGCCTCCTTCACTCTCAGTGGGGGCAAAGGCCACAGCTTATTCTCTTCAAGCACAGAATACTCACATCTCAACCTTGGCAAAAGAGATTTTTCCACATCCATGGCAGGACATGTGACATAGCAACAGCCACTCAGTCCTCCTACTTCCACCCAGGCAAGCAAAGCCCACTTTTGATTTTGACATTTTCTTTAGCCATGTTACTTCATGGCCACTTACTTTACCTCATCCTTCCTGTTCCTTTTTAAGGAATCATCCTTTAGATGAATCAAGGAGAGCTGTTTCAACACCAACCTCAGGGCTATGAATGTTCAATTAAGACACAAGGACATGTACAGTCAGCACGCACTCTAGGCATTAGCCGTGCTAGCGAGTTAACGAGTGAGAAGCTCATGTCACAAAGCCAACCGCTGGGACCAAGGTGGTCCTTGATCTGTGCCCTTTGTCCTGTCTATGCCCACGTTGCCAACCGGCTTTAAGGAGCAGCTCAGAACTTGCCCAGTCACAGCAGGGTTCTCCTGTTCCTACTTTCGCAGCGATGCCTTGGAAGATCGTCTTGATGTGAGGCCTGTGGAAAGGAATCCTGTAGTTTAGCTCCTGAAAAGACAGAGTCTGAGATCTCAATTAAATATTCAAAGACTACCCTCCCCTAATTAGTTCTTTCTAATGGGAAGTGGAAATGCCCATGAAAAAGAATATGCTGAGCCGGCCCTGATGGCCTCTGGTTAAAGTTTGGTGCACCCAGGTTCAGTTCCCGGGCACAGACCTACACCACTCATCTGTCTGTAGCGATGCTGTGGCGGCACTCACACCCAAGAACTAGGACTTACAACTAGAACATACAACTCTGCACTGGGGCTTTGGAGAGGGGAAAAAAAGAGAGAGAAGACTGACAATACAAGTCAGCTCAGGGCAATTCTTTCTCAGCAAAAAAAAGAAAAATATGCAAAGTCCTCAAGGTAAACCCATCAGAGGCTGTGGACTGATTTGAGAAGAGGGACAAAAAGGCTGGGCGGAAGCATCATCAAAGCCCCAGAAGAAACTTCTATCGCCCTATCCAAAGAAGCTGTGATTCCAGACAGCAAGCAATTCCATGAAAGCTCCTGTAGAGACCCTCTTTGATTAGTCTGGACGTGTTCCGGTACAGCATGACTGTGAATGAGAGAACCTGCAGGATTTCCAGGAGCCACATTCGTTATTATCCAGAGGAGCAGCAGTGGTTCCGCATTCCTTCCACAGCTCCCCGAGGGGAATGTATTAACTCCTGAGGCTTTTTCCTCACTATTGACCAATAAAGGTTTCTTCACAGAAAGTTTTAGGTAAAGACACAAAATCTGACAGGTTTGCAAAGCTGATGCTAGGATTAGGGGGCCAAGAGAGCTACACCTTAAGCTTTAGAATGTCACTCAGGGCTGGCCCAGTGGCACAGCCATTGAATTCGCACATTCCACTTTGGGAGCCAAGGGTTTGTTGGTTGGGGTCCCGGGCATGGATCTACACACCACTTATCAAGCCATGCTGTGGCAGGCGTCCCGCATATAAAGTGGAGGAAGATCGGCATGGATGTTAGCTCAGGGCCAATCTTCCTCAGCAAAAAGAGGAGGATTGGCAGTAGATGTTAGCTCAGGGCTAATCTTCCTCAAAGAAAAAAAAATGTCACTATGTCACTCAACTTTTACTAATTGTTTCAGGTAAAGGTGCCATATTTACTTCTAACAGATCAGTGTGAAAAAAATTAATTAATGAGCAATGGGAGCATCCCCATATGTCAATATTTTCATGTGTGTTGTCTGTATGTCTAATAGTCCACTGGGTTGGTATGCCAAGATAAATATTTTTAAGCTTTTGAGAAGCAGGAAAGCGTCAACTTCTAGACTTCACATACTGAAGACAATCTCCAGCCTTACTCATCAGGGGGGTAATTTAAAGAATAATCTGCCCCACTTAACCCTTTCCCTTGGGGATTAGGTTGGATCACTCCTTACTTTAGTGCCTAATATAATCCTAGAATGTTGCAAATCAAACTCATTCAGAAAAGAATGTTACCTTTCCAGGTCTGCCTCAAAAGGAGCCTTCCTTTTCTATTTCTCTCTCCTGCTCCATCTCTATCTTCCTCTGTCTGGCTTTCTCTTTTTCTGCAGTCTCAGCAGCAATATTTCCTCTCAGTCTAATGTATAATTAATTATTTGTATCTTGTCATTATGGTTCTCTAGCCCACTCACCACCCCCACCCCGTCTCATCCAACCCTTCTTTACGTCACCAAAGCACCTCCCTTCCACAGCCAATCCTTTCTCATATATATATATATATATCAATCACAGGGAACAGTGTAAAATTTGTTTTTTCCCCAAGTCAAATAAAAAGTGTCCACTTCAGGGGCTGGCCCCATGGCCGAGTGGTTAAGTTCGTGCGCTCCGCTGCAGGTGGCCCAGTGTTTCGTTGGTTCGGATCCTGGGCGCAGACATGGCAGTGCTCATCAAATCACGCTGAGGCAGCGTCCCACATGCCACAACTAGAAGGACCCACAACAAAGAATATGCAACTATGTACCGGGGGGCTTTGGGAAGAGAAAGGAAAAAAATAAAATCTTAAAAAAAGAAAAAAAGTTTCCACTTCATTTCCAGGGACAAAAGAGGCCCTGTGAGATTGTTCCATTACTCACAATTATTAAGTAAACGGTTATTTTATGGCTGTACATCAGCTAAACAGGCAGATCTTACTCCCAAGTCCAGACAGTACACAGGACATTATCTGAACTCCTTCCTTAAAGCCTCTGAATCCTTTAAGCCTATTTAAAAATTCCTTTATCAGTATTGGAGGGAATAACAGAAGAAAAAAGGGCAAAGATGAATACGCACATAAATTACACCAAAGCAACAAGCTGTCTAGATGAAAGAGCCATTCCCAACACATCCATCTCTAGCACTCAGATGCCAGAGATCAGGGCGGCGAACTGCTCACAGCTCCTCGTTCTCAAAGGCCAGGCTCCCTTGTGCCGAATGCAGTGGTGTCTTGGTACTCACCAAGCTTCCTTGTTCCCTCCTGGCATAAGTGACGGGCCATGCCGCGCCCCCTCTTCTCCACCACTAACTCCGCTCCCCACAAACAAGATGCCCTTGGCCTTGAGGTCTCGACATCGTCTCTACATGAAAGAAAAATAATTTCATTACTCTTCCATAAAATAAATTTCTCCCAATGAATGAGTGGAGATGCAAGACAGATATGGAGATCTCACATTTGACATGAAATGATCCAAGGATCCAGGAATAACCTGATCATTCAAGAAATCTAACCCTCTCAGTTTGGGAGTTAAAAAAAAAAAAATCCATGGAAGTTTAAGATAGCTATCCTGTCCCCAAAGGGAAATAATAAAACCAAACATACAGGGGCCGGCCCCGTGACCGAGTGGTTAAGTTCTCGCGCCTCCGCTTTGATGGCCCAGGGTTTCACAGGTTCGGATCCTGGGCACAGACATGGCGCTGCTCATTAGGCCACGCTGAGGCAGCGTCCCACATTCCACAACTAGAAGGACCCACAACTAAAATATACAACAATGTACTGGGGGGATTTGGGGAGAAAAAGCAGAAAAAAAAAAAAGGAGATTGGCAACAATTGTTAGCTCAGGTGCCAATCTTAAAAAAAAAAACAAAAAAACATACATTCTCATTTTACTGGAAAAGACCTTGTTCAATAAGACTCAATTAAGAGTTGGTTTAGGGGCCCACCTGGTGACATAGTGGTTAAGTCTGCACACTCCGCTTCAGCATCCCAGGTTCGTAGGTTTGGATCCTGGGCGCATACCTAAACACAGCTCGTCAAGCCATGCTACATGGCAGCATTCCCCATACAAAACAGAGGAAGACTGGTACAGCCATTAGCTCAGCAACAATCTTCCTCAAACAAAAAGAGGAACACTGGCAGCAGATATTAGTTCTGGGCCACTCTTCCTCATCAAAAAAAAAGAAAAGAAAGAAAGAAAAAAAAGAGTGGGTTTAATACAAGTATGACTTCTGCCATTCGGCACGCTGGATTGTACAGGGACTGCTCCCCGGATATGAGGCCGTTAGAGCAGTGGTTCTCAACCGTGTTACAAACTGATGCATCATGGATTGGTGGAAGAGGAAGGGAAGAGTTAAGCATAAACTCTCAGCCCGCTCTATCTAAGGAGTAGTCATTCCTTCAAGTTACATGTGTCACCAGTGAGAACCTCACCCATCAAGTACGTCTGAGCAGAAACAAAGGCAGAGAACAACAGCGTAAGTACCAATCCCCAAAGAGTCAGCACCACAGGACCACTCTCGTCACATGTGCAATGCTGATACTTTCTTCTAGAATGTTCTCAAACTTGGAAGAATCTGGACTGAAGAATACTTACTGTAGTATCCCTGTACTCAGAATTTCCTCCATCAATGATGATGTCACCAGTGTCCAACAATGGTACCTGTAACCAGACACTAGCATTAACGTGGACCAAAGAAATGAAAGACAAAAATAAAACATACCTTGACCAATTAAAACAGACAAGAATTTATCCTAAATAAACCCAGTCTAAAGGTATGTAATACTTAATCTTCAATAATCCTCTCTGCGACCAGAGCTAGCCCCTACTTAAAAGCTTAGGGCCAGCAAACCCAGTCAGAACTCCCCACCACTGAAACCATTCTTTAACTATTCTAAGATTTTACAACAGACAAAACCTACCTGGAAAATTCTGCATATCCAACGTGTACCACCTGCCTGGTTTATACTCCCAAAACTAGGGACTGGATGAGTTCTAAAAACTTAACCCACTTCCTCTAAATCTCTGCCTAGAACAGAGCAGGAGTCCAGTTAATATATGTCAAACGGCTTCACGTGTGAATGAATGATTTCCTCACCACTGAGTGGAGATGGCAGGAAGAGACCAGGCCTTGAACGAGAATCTCTTCCTACGGCACCCAACCAGGCTGGCTTCGTTATTTATTCCAACTCCCCCACAAGGCGCCAGTTAACCTTACTTAGTATCTTCCCATGGTGACGAGTAATCGACCATTTTTCAGTCCATTCTGTCTACAGCTAATCACAGGCAGCCTGGCATCTTGCTACACAAAAAGCTTGGTATCTCCTTTCTTTATCAGAATGTTCTTGCTTTCTAGATCATTTTTTCTCTAATGGTAGCATACTGCTCACAAATTCCTCTCCCTGTAGAAACAACCCCGCTGTTAACACTACTCCTGTAGAAAAGGAATGTTCACCCCTTGCCTCCGTTTACATCACTACATTTCTCACAATAACGGCATTTCTTCCAAGTGGCTAATGCTGTGGTTTTTTCAGAGCTGTTACTGTAGAACTGGTTTTCACTATCTAAATAACTTCCACTAGTTTGCCTTCAACCATGTTTTTTTTTTTTTTTTTTTGCGAGAAAAGCACCTGGAGGCTGCAGGATACTGGCAACGAGGGCGTGTGCACTTATCATCGGTGAGGAAAACCCTCTCAAGTTATCACAGTGTGATCATTTCCCAGAGGTCTGTTGAGGGAAGGGGCCTAGAGGTGGCCCAGAAACAGCGTATAGCAACAGTGCTTCCCTCGAGTGCTGCTGACACATCCCTGGGGAAAAGGCAGCTGTCCCCTCAGCTCCTCCTCTCCCACGGCCATCCAGGCGGGGAGCGGCCATCAGTCCTTCGGTGGGATCAGGGGCAGAATGGACAACAGACGAGCGTGAGGAGACAGACTGGCAATGACCACGAACAGGAATGGGCCCACGACCCCCCAGCCCTGGGGTGGTGGAGGAAAGCCGAAACAAGGGTCAGACTACAATGTGTTAAAGAACCAAGATTAGCACCCATGTGAAGCATGGCCCTCGCAGCTGAGGATCAGGGACCAGAACTGCCACTGAGGTCTGCCTCCCAGAGACCCTCCTGGGGGGCTCAGCACTAGGGTGCCCCCTGCCCCGGCATGGCCATCACAGCCCATACACAGATTTTTTTTCTTCCAGAACAGATATACTTGCTAAAGCCAACAAATTGTTCAGTATGAAAATAAGAACCTAGGGTGCAGTTCCTAGGATTCACTAAGGGGATCTCTTGTCATTTACATTAAATTATACAACAATTTGAGAATTTTGCTTTACAGGAATACTGAGAAAAATGAAATTTATTTCTAAATTTGGACACTAAAGGTTTAGTAGTGAATAGAATGAAATGTTCATAATACACAATCAAAACTGTAAGTTTTTTTGAATACCAAAGGTCCCACTAAGATCACTATTGTTTCTCTTCTTGTTGTTAATGAATTCTTATTAAAACATGTCTTAGTGTCCTCAGAATATTATATATAAGGAATTATTACCACCCAAGGATACGTTATTACTTAATTAGTGCCAGTCAAGTTAACCAACACTGAGACATTCAAGCAAGTGTTTTGTCAGAACTGAGCAGTTCATATCCAGAAATTTAAGAGGCGGAAAAATCCTCTGAAGTAAAATAGTGAAAGGAAGGAATGAGAAAAGTTCTGTCCCAGCAGTAGCAGCCGAGAGTAGAGCTGGCCTCACCAACTTTTCGATGAAATCGTCGACAGCCTGGCCAGCCTTCACGAGCAGTATGATCCGCCGTGGCTTCTTCAGCTTGGAGACCATCTCCTCCAAGGAGTGGGCCCCAACCACCTTGGTGCCCTTTGCCTCATTGGCCAAGAAATCATCAACTTTGGAGACCGTCCTGTTAAAAGCACAGACCTAGAAGGACATAAAGGCCTGATTAGAAGATCTAGACCACACAAGACCATCAGACTGCAGACCACGTGACTACGAAACGTCTATTCAACCGAAGGTGTCTGGGACCTCAGACCCTGCCTGTGCCTTTCCGCCGCCCAAGTGCTGACTGATCACTGCAAAGGTAACTTGATTAGGATGAAATGGCAAAGAGCTGAATACCATAAGCGAAGGTCAACTACCCAGGGCATAGCAGGCTACAGCCTGTCACTAGCTGGTTCAGACTCAGAATCAAATCTAGGAACCAACAGGATGTAGACTGCTAACTGTTGTCACTGATAATCTTTGTATCTGAGCCAGTTTAGTATTTATACATAAACTTTTTACTATCCCCGCATCTCCTCAGGCAACAGAGAGAGAGCTCTGCACACCCAGCGGGATTTCTCCTCAAGGTACTTACCGGTAGGTCTATTCAGGCCTCAAACCTTCCTGCACTGACAGCTACATTTAGCTGGACTTTTCCTCCTCAGAGCATTGAGGGGTTGGCCCTGCCACACGCTCAGGGAAAGTGGTGTTTCTCCCTTCTTTGCAAAAAGGTCATAAGCATCAATAGAGCACATACAAAGAGAAACACGTTCCAGATTACATGGCATCTTTGAAATCCGCAGAACCACCACCCATCACGGCACCCAGGAACCCCCAAAAGAGTGTGTCCCTTATGACTTACCACAAAGCCATGATCATTCATGTTCAAAATTAAGTTCTGACCCATCACAGCGAGTCCAATCAGTGCAATATCAGCTCTGAAAGACCGGAAAAAGGAACAAAGAAAAAAGTGTCAGTTCCACTTAATCCGTCCCAACGCAAGGACCCGAGCTTTCCAGCTTTCGCTGTGATTAACTTGTCTTAACTTCCCCTCAACCCCACTACTCCCTTTTACACTTTAGGACGCAGCCTTCCGAGAAACTCCAGGCAGGCCACTACCCACCGCGCCGCTTCGAGGGACCTCAAGGCCTCTCGCCGACAACTGGCCGCGCACTAGGAGGGTCTACCCGGCACGTAATCTCCCCCGCGCTCCGGGCTATCGGGCAACGACTCGGTCCAGGCGTCCGTTTCCCATCGCGGGGAGGAGCCCCTGCAGGCCGGGCCGCGCCCGTCCAGCCTCTTGCCCTCCGGATCCGGGTCTTGGCTTCCCCCGGCCACGCTGCCCCCTCCCCACCGGCCATTTTAGGCACGGGGATCCGCCCCGCCTGCGCCGCCGCGAGGGCAGAGGGGCTGGGTCCAAGGGGAAGGCGCGGCTGCGGGGCTAGCTCGGGATCGGGGGAGTCCCGAGGCCTGGGAGGGGGCTGAGCCCCTGGGGGTCCGGGGCTCGGGCACCACGAGGCCGGGCTCAGGAGACCTCCGGAGCCCGGGCGCATCGGAAGCGGCTGCGCTCCCCGCGCGGGCCCTCGGAGAGTTTCCCGGCCGCCGGCAGGCGTCACTCACTGGGCCATGGCGGCGGCAGCGGACCGGGCAGGAACGGAAGGAACCGAAGAGTTAAAGAGCGCGCGGCGCGGGCGACCGAGGATGAGCAGCGCTCGGGTTCGCCCCCCGAGGGCGCCGTCCCGGCTTTCCGGCGGCAGCCAATCGAAAGGAAGGGGCGGAGCGATGCGGCCACACCATTGGTCCTCCCTAGCGCCAGTGAGACCACCTGAGGCAAACGGGCCCGCCCACTCCCAGGGGCCAGCTCAGAAGAGCGCCGAGCACATCGATGACCGCGCCCGTGTCCGCGCAGGAGGCGTGGCGCCGGGACAGGCGGAGCGGGGTGGGGCAGGGGGGCGGATGGGGGCCGGGCGCGGGCCCGGGGATGCCCGGGACACCTGGAGGGTGCAGAACGCGGCGCGGTGACAGGCGGAGGGGGCAGAGCAGAGGACACGCGGGTCCCGGACTTTGTTCGCCGGCTCCGTGCGTAAGGCGGTGGCTCACGTTGGGCCGCGCTTTCCAGTCTACAGGCACTTGGACGCCTGTTGTCCGAGTGTCCATCACTCCTTCCTCCCATCGCCGCGGTGCATTGTGGGGTTTATGCGTCGTATGGCTCAACTCTGGGAGGGGACCAAGGTTTATTCTTCTGGTTTGTGGGCATGGGTAACGGGTACGAAGAAGTGGTGGTCCTCACCACGACCCTCTGTGGGAAACATGAAGCCCCTTTTTGCAGGTGAAGAAACAGGCACAGAGAGCAGGCGGTGAATGCACTTGTTGGGTGTGATGGGGCCAGGCTCGGAGGTCGTGTCATTGAACCTCTTCCCGTACCGCTGCGGAACCAGAGGCGACGCGATGCTGAACGTCCATCCAGGGTATTAAATACCATCTCCCACGTGCAGTCCTCAAAAGTCGCCCGGTGCGCCCAGGCGTCTTGACCCTCAGCACTGAACCCTGCCGCCTCTAACAGCAGGTGCTTGTGAAGGAGGCTTAGCTCCTCCAGTAAAATTTAGGGCTTTTTGTTTTGCTGTGAATGCTTCATATGAGATGACAGTAACAACTTGCACATAGTAAGTGCTCACCAGATGTTTGTTTTTTTGTTTTAAGATTTTATTTTTCCTTTTTCTCCCCCAAGCCCGCCCCCCCCCCCCCCCCCCCCGGAGTACATAGTTGTGGGTCCTTCTAGTTGTGGCATGTGGGACACCGCCTCAGCATGGCGTGAGGAGCGGTACCATGTCCGCGCCTAGGATTGGAACTGGCGAAACGCTGGGCCGCGGAGGCAGAGCCGGGGAACTTAACCACTGGGCCACAGGCCGGCCCTTCACCAGATGTTTAATTACAAGAGTCACACAGCTAGTTAATGGCCCAGTTGTGGCCGATTCAAAGCTAAGGCTATTCCCATCACACCAATTGCACAGTTACTTTGTAATACAGTTTTTAACAGATACTGTTATAATAACTTCCATGTTAGCAAATGTCCCACTATAGCCTTTTTTTTTCCTGTTGGAAGTTGTGTTAATTAAATCACAGTAACAATATTTTTAATCCAATAAAGGAATCTTAGTCTGAAATTTTTAAATATCACAATCTTATATGTAAATATTTTTTCTATATTAGGTTTTCTTCACCAGAGGCATTCTTTATATCAATTTGTTCCTTTCCTTGAGTTCCGTATTTGCCTGTTTTGTGCCAGCCAGGTCTTAAAACTCCTGAAGGTACCGTTTTTCTTTTCGTTTTATACTCCCATTGCCTGGCGTGGTGTTCATGGACTGATGTCCCCAAGGGGCCAAGCTTAGAACAGAACTTCCTGAGGAGAAGAGAGGTCCCTGTCCCATGGGCCCTTCCCTTCATTCCTTCTTGCTTTTACTGGATGCAAGCCCAGAATTTATTTTAAAGCTATAACAAGGTGCCTTGCTCCCCTCAGCATTTCCCTGAATGGGGAAAGAAGTGAGTAGAACATGGTGAACTGATCGCCACAGCAAAAGCCCTGCACGGAGACCTGGGTCTTAATCCCAGCTCTACCAAAACAGCCGACTTCACAGCTTTGGATGAGCCAGGCTGGCAGGAATCTTGGAGCTCTCCCAACCCACTGTCCCAAACTCCAGCGTGCAAGGAAGCTTGTTAAATGTGAATTCTGATCCCACAGGTCTAGGATAAGCCAGGAAATGTGCATTCTGTCAGGACTCTCAGGTGATCTGATTGCAGGTGGTCTACCTTTGGACCACCTTTTGAAAGAATTCTCAGAGTGTTTCAGGACCCCTGGAAGTCCCTCAGGTGCTTTCAGGTGGAAGAGGGGACAAAACTATTTCCACAGTAGCAGTAGGACACTATTTGGCTTTTTCATTCTCATTCTCTCACGAGTGTACAGTGGAGATTTCCAGAGGCTACAGGGCATGTGATAGGGAAGAGATTAAAGGTAGAGGCAGACAGGAGAATCCAGCTGTCTTAAGCTGTATGAAGCCAGATGTTACAGAGGTTCGCCAAGCTGTCAAACAGTACCACTCATCTCCCTGAATTTCCATTTGTTTTGAGAAATTGTTATTCAGAAGTTTCTCAGTTTTAATTTTAAAATGGGAAATATTGACTGATATATCTCACATAAACAAACATTCTTTGGTTCCTCCATAATTGTTAAGAGTGTAAAGGGGTCCTGAGACCAACAAGTTTGAGAACCACTGGTCTAGCCCAACTCATGTTTTAGAGATGAGGAAATTGGGGCTCAGAGAGCTGGGACTTGCTGAGGCACATAGTGACAAACACTAGAACTGGGGATGGGTTAGATGCTCTCCAACGTCTCGCTCAATAAACCTGCGATTTGGGGAGACAGCCTCAGTCGTGGGACAGCACACCACTGCAGAACTCAGATCAGATGGCTTCTCAAAGGATCTGGAACATCTTTCTCAGAAGCTGCTTGATGGAGAGGGAAAGGAATGGATTTTGGTGCCACATGGACCATGGGTTGCTCCGGTTCCATTTCTTTCTAGTTATACAATTTGGGGTAAGTTACCAAATCTCAGCTTCCTCATGTGTAAAACAGGAAGGACGAGATCTCACAGGGTAGCTCTAGGGTTAAATGAAACAAATGGGAACTTGCGTTCTGATACTTAGTACCTATATACTAGCTTCTATCTTTTTTATGAAAAGGACTCAAAAAGAAGAGACATAAACTGCTTCCTGCAAAGTTCCTGAGCGGTTCCCATGGTTCAAGCTCAGCTGGTGATAAAATGGTTCATTGTTGAATTGTTTGCCATAGAAAAAATTCCGATTGGATAATGACATAACCATGAATTTCACAATATCCTGAACCAAACACACATCATCCCAGGCGTCTTCTCCTCTCTTCCCTATAGTCATTACATGTTCTACATCACTTGACGGTGGCCTAGGTAGGGTGCACCAGCACATCCTATTTTAAATGCCTTTTTCCCCCGGAGCATCCCAATACAACTCTAGGAACAAACACCTCAGACCAAGTCCACCGGGTTGACCAACATGACTTATCCAGGGGGGCGAAACAGCCCTTTCTCTGCTAGAGCTCCAGCCTAGATGATGACTTTAACTTTGAAAGACAAGCAGTGCAGTCTTTTTTTCACAATACACAACAGTGTATGACAAATACTCACCTCTGTCCTCTTCCCTTGGCCACCCCTATGCACTGTGTTCTAGAGACACTGACTGACTTTCTGGTTCCAGAACAGGACGTGAGTTGTCACCTTACTACATCCTACCATCTTGCAGTCCTGGCTCACAGGAGGCTTCCTCTATTTTCCTGAGATGACTTAGACACCTCCCCCACATTCCCGACAAGCCCAGTGCTTGTCGCTGCCTGCTTTCATTTCCATCTCCCTCAATGCACCATCAACCACAAGAGTAGGGACCATGTCTATCTTGTCCCTAAGTGCATTTCTATCACCTTCCCATGTATAACACGTAACAGATGGCCACTAACTGTTGCTATCAAATGACAGGTTTACACCAGTTTTTAAAAGGGGGCACTGGAGCTGGCCCTGTGGCATAGTGGTTAAGTCTGGCACACTCCACTTCAGTGGCCTGGGTTTGCAGTTTCCAATCCCGGGTGCAGATCTACACCACTCGTCAAGCCATACTGTGGCAGCAACCCACATACAAAATAGAGGAACATTGGCACAGAGGTTAGCTCAGGGCTAATCTTCCTCAAGCCAAAAAAAAAGAAAAAAGGAAGACTGGCAACAGATGTTAGCTCAGAGCGAATCTTCCTCACCAAAAAATAAATAAAATAAAATAAAATAAAGGAGGCACTATTCCATGCCAGTTGGTCTGGAGCAGTCCTGGTTCACACCTGCCTTCTTGCATAATTTTAATAAGTAGCCCTTTCACTCTCAGAATTATTCTAGTTTGGATGATAAATTATATTGGCACCCTACTTTAAAATGATGTCATTTCTTCATAGCACTGTCCTTTAAAAAAAAAGATTGAAGTGTAATTTATATGCCAAGTAATTTGTACCTTCTAAGTGTCCAGTGGGATGATTTTTGATTTATACAGTTGTGTAACCATCACCCCAACATTTTCTCTTGTTGCTGTTTCTAGTCAATCTCTGCTCCCACCCCCAGCCCCATGAAACCTCTGATCCACTTAATGTCCGTATAGTTTTGCCTCTCCTGGAAATTTCATATAAATGGAATAATATGTAATTTTTTGGGTCTTTCACTTAGCATAATGTTTTCGAAGCTTATAGATGTTGTTGCATTTATGAGTAGTACATTCCTTCTTATTGCTGAGTGGTATTCCATTGTGTACAATTTCTTTATCCATTTAGCTGTGGATGGATATTTGGGTTGTTCTAGATTGGGCAATAAAGAAAGAATAAATAATTCTGTTTTGAACATCCATGTACATAAATTGTAGTGTGAGCACATGTTTTCATTTCTATTGGGGTAGATAGATACTTGGGAGTGAAATTGGTGGGTCATATGGTAAGTGTAGGTCTAACTGTTTAAGAACTGCTAAATTATTTTGGGAGTGACTGCACCATTTTACATTCTCACAAGCAGTGTAGGAGGGTTCCAGTTTCTCCACATCCTCGCCAACACTTGATACTGTCTGTCTTTGTGATACATCCATCCTAGTGGATGTAAAATGGTATCTCATTGTGTTTTTTATTTGCATTTCCCTAATGACTTATAATGTTGAGCATATTTTCAAATGTCTATTAGCTACTTGTGTACCTTCTTTGGTGACATGTCCATTCAAATCTCTTGCTTGTTCATTTTAAATAAATTTTAGAACAGATTTAGATGTATAGAAAACTTGCACAGATAGTTCAGGAAGTTCCCTTATAGTCCTCACCTAGTTTCCCCTATTGTTACTATCTTCATATTACCATGGTATATTTGTCGCAACTACGAAACCAACATTGGTATAATATTGTTAACTAAACTCTAGATTTTAGTAGCATTACCAGTTTTCCACTATTGTACTTTTTCTGTTCTGGTCCTATCCAGGATACCACGTTACATTTAGACATCACGTCTCCTTAGTTTCCTCTGGTCTTCTTCGTGTCTCCTCAGTCTCTTCGTTTCTTCTTATTTTTTATGACCTTAACGGTTTTGAGCAATACTGGTCAAGGATTTTATAGAATGTACTTCCATTTGGATTTGCCTGATGTTTTTTCTCTTGGTTATACTGGAGTTATAGATTTTGCAGAAGAAAAGCACAGAGGTGAAGTGCGGTCTCATGACATCATATCAGCGGAACGTGTTCTCAACACTAATGATGCCGACCTTGGTCACCTGGCCGTTTCTGCGCTGTGAAGCTGCTTGTCCACTTTTCTATATTCTGTTCTTCGGAAGCCATTCACTAAACGCAGCCCACTTTTGCCTGTTTTGTTTTGTTTTGACTAGGATTGTTCGTGTTACTGAGTTTTAAAAGTTCTTCATGTCGTCTAAATACAAGTTCTTTATCAGATATATGATTTGAAAATATTTTCTCTGTTTGTGGCTTGTCGTCTCATTTCCTCAGTGGTGTCTTCTGAGGGAAAAGGTTTTTAATTTTGATGAAGTCCAATTTATTGTGTTTTTAGTGATGTATCTAAAAATCTTTGCCCAATCCAAGGTCACAAAAGATTTTCTCCTATGTTTTCTTCCACAAGTTTTATAGTTTTAGTTCTTACATGTAGATCTATGATCCATTTTCAGTTAATTTTTGTCTAACATATAAGGTAAGGGTCTAAGTTCCTATTTTTGTATATGGATTTCCAATTGTTCAAGCAACATTTGTTGAAAAGACCCCATTGAATTACTTTGACGTCTTTGTCAAAAATCAGTTGACCACAAAGGTGAGTGTTTCTGGATTTTCTATTCTGTTGCACTGACCTTATGCCAGTACCACACTGTCTTGATTACTGTAACTTTATGGCAATTTTTAATTAAAATAAGGTAATATAAGTTCTCCAACTTTGTTCTTCTTTTCCAAAATTGTTTGGCTATTCTAAGTCCTTTGGCATTTCCCATGTAAATTTTAGGGTCAGTTTGTCAATTTCTACACAAACCCTGGGATTTTATACGGAGTACGTTATAGCTGTAGGTTGAGGGAGAATTGCCATCTTAACGATACTGAGTCTTCCAATCCATGAACTTGTTATAGTGTCTCCATTTATTTAGATCTTCTTTGCTTCAGCAATGTTTTGTAGTTTGAGTGTACAGGCTTTGCACTTTTTTTTTTTTTACATTTTATTTTTTTTCCTTTTTTCTTCCCAAAGCCCCCCAGTACATAGTTGTGTATTCATTGTGGGTCCTTCTAGTTGTGGCATGTGGGACGCTGCCTCAGCGTGGTTTGATGAGCAGTGCCATGTCCGTGCCCAGGATTCAAACCAACGAAACACTGGGCCGCCTGCAGCGGAGCGCGCGAACTTAACCACTCGGCCACAGGGCCAGCCCCGCAGGCTTTGCACTTCTTCTGTTAAATGTATTCCAAATGCTCCTTTTGATGTTATTGTAAACGGAATTTTCCTCATTTCATTTTCAGATTGTTCATTATTGGTACATAGAAACAGAACTAATTTTTGTACGTTGATCTTCTGTCCTGAGACCTTATCATCTGCAATCAAGTCAACTGTGAATAAACACAATTTTACTTCTTCCCTTCCAATCTAAATGCCTTTAATTTTCCTTGTCTATTGCACTGGCTAAAACCTCAAGTACTGTGTTGAAGTAATGAGGGGAGACATACTTGCCTTGTTCCTTATCTTAGGGGGAAGGCATTCAGTTTTTCACTACTAAGTATGATGTTAGTTTTAGGCTTTTCATAGATGCCTTTCATAAGGTTGAGGAATTTCCCTTCTATTCCTAATTTGTTGAGAATTTGTATCATGGATTTTCAGTTGTCTCTTTCTCCTTTCACATCTGTAAGTTTTGCCTCACGTATTTAAAATCTAATGCTAGATGCATATACATGTATAGTGGTTATATCTTCCTGATGTATTGACCCCTTACAATTATGAAATGTTCCTCTGTGTGTCTAATATTTCTTTTCTTAGTCACTTTTGTCTGGTGTTAATATAGCCATTACAGCTCTCTGGTCATTACTGTTTGCATGGTAAATTTCCCCAACCTTTTACTTTCAAATTATGGGTGTCTTTGACTCTTAAGGGTCTCTTGTAGACAGCATATAGTTGGCTCTTGCTTTTTTAAATCCAGTTTAACAATCTCTGCATTTTGATTGGAATGTTTAGTCTATTCACATGTAAAATATATTATTTATATGGTTGGCTATATGGATGCCATTTTGCTATTTGTTTTATATGTCTCATGTCTTTCATGTCCCTGTTTGTCCTTTTACTGCATCTTTTGTGTTAATTTTTCTGTGTGTGTACAATTTTAATCCCTAGGTTGATTTTTTAAATATATCTTTTGAGTTATTTTCTTAGTGGTTGTCTAGGGATTATAATATGCATCTTTAATTTATTACAATGTACTTCAGCTTAGTACTAAAAATCCTAGTGACATATAGCACCTTTATTGATTATAGCTCCATTTCATCGCTCTTCCTTTTTGCTGTTACTGTCATGTATATCAATATATGTTATAAGCCCAACAATACATGTTATAATTACTAGTTTAAACAATCTTATGTTTGTTTGTTTTTTTTTTTTTTGAGGAAGATTAGCCCGGAGCTAACATCCACCGCCAATCCTTTTTTTGCTGAGGAAGACTGGTCCTGAGCTAACATCTGTGCCCATCTTCCTCTACTTTATATGTGGGACGCCTACCGCAGCACGGCTTGACAAGCAGCATGCAGGTCCGCAGCTGGGATCCTAACTGGCGAACCCTGGGCTGCTGAAGTGGAATGTGCAAACTTAACCACTGCACCACAGGGCCAGCCCCACAATCTTGTTTTTTAAAAAATTGAGGAAAGAGAAAAAATGCAAGGTATTTTCTATTTAGGTGTGTATTTGTCATTCCAGCGATCATTTCTTCTGGTGAATCGAGTCATCGTCTGGTGTCATTTTCCTTTAGCCTGCAGGACTTCCTTTAGTATTTCTTCCTCTAGCATTTCTTGTAAGGCAGGTCTGATAGCACTATTTCTCTCCATTTTTTTTTCTTAACTGGGAAGGTCTATGTTTTGAACAACGGTTTTGCTGGATGTAAAACTTGGTTGACAATTTTCTTTTTCTTTCAGTACTTTGAGTATCCCATTTCAGTGGCTGTGACTGTCACTGTTTCTGATGAGTAGTCAACCATTAATCATATTGTCATTCCCCCGTACATGATGAGTGGTTTTTCTCTTGCTGTTTTTAAACCTGTCCCTTTGAGTTGGTTTTCAGCAGTGTACCTATGATGTGTCTAGGTGTGGATATTTTTGTGGTTACCCTACTGGGGTTCATAGAGTTAACACTGTAAATTAAAGTCCTTCAACATATTTAGGAAGTTTTCAGCCATTAATTCTTTAAATAATTTTTTCTGCCCTTTCTTTCTCTCCTCTCCTCTCCTCCTAGAACTCCCATTTCACATACGTTGATGCTCTGTTCAGTTTTTTCATTCTTATGTTTTTAGCATGGCTGCCTGAAGGTTGCCCTGTGTCTCCGTAACTTAGTGGCCAGTGAATGACTTGGGAAGATGTGCTCAGACACCTCAAGCCCATAAGGCTTCCACTTGCGCACTGTCTGTGTGCGCACCGGGAAGTGCATTCTCAACTCCCCCACTTCTCAAGTCTCCCTGGGGTTTTACCTTCTGCGGCGCTTTCTGGAGTCTCCCCTGTGCACCTGCAGTTTCCCAGTCAGCCAAGGATGTTGTGAGAGCTTATCTAGTCCTTCTATGGCATTCTCATTCCCTGTTAAATTTCTGGAAAGTCTGCTGCTTGCCCAACTGAAACCTGAGACTAGAAAGCTGCAGGTTTTCCCCATTCATTTCTTTGAAGATTTGCTACTTTTAGCTGATAAAAAAGCTACAGGTCTCCTCCCCTGCAAACAAATATGATGAAGTTTGCACCCTTTGGAGCAAAGTGATTGGCTGGTAAAACAACTTTTCTTACTAAAAGACAGGAGGTAGAGATGGGGAGAAGAGGGGAGCAGACCCAGGTAAGAAGGATGCAGGCTCCCAGTGCTCTTACCTGAGGCTCTAGTAGTTTTTTCCAAGAATGTGCTTCTTGGTTTGTCTGCCTTTGGTCAATTTCAAGAGCCTTGAAATGTTTTTAATAATTTTTCCAGTTTTATGGTTTTTTATTTTTTGTAGAGAGCACCCCCTATCCTCTTAACCCTGCCGTAGCCAGCGCTCCCTCCATATCACTGTCCTTTTGTCTGCAGTTAAGGCATTCATCTTGAGTCCGGCAGGGAGTGGTCAGGGTCAGGGGTCTTTTACTGAAGGCACGGATCATGGGGCATACTGACATAGATCCTGTGCTGCCTCCTCTCGCATCCCTCTTTCACAGGCTGGATTCGGCACCTCAGCCTTGAAGCAAGTGAGAGAGACCCAGAATCAGGAAATTCGGGGAGAAGCTTCAAAAAGGACAAACAGACTGGAAGCTTCCCAAACTCCTGCCGCTCTCCAGGGCTGTCTGCAGGCTCCTTGACTGCAGGATACCACCTCCTGTCTGTGCTGCCTTCTTCCCCACATCAAAATGAGCTCATGTCTGCGAAAGCTCCCTGTAAACTTCAAATTGCTATACAATGTTAAGATGTCATTATTAATATTATCTAACATGACAAACTCAGCTCAGAGAAGTTGACTTTCTCAGCTAGTTACTGGGAGAACTGAACTTTAACCCAAATCTACTAGGACTGAGCCCAGCGCTCTTTCCTAATCGGATTAGCAGACCATAATCATGTAAACTCAGAGACATATTTTCCCAGTGAAGTTGGATATATCTGTATGTTGGAGCTGTTTAGTTGACTTTAAACGGAAATTAACTTTCAGTGACTAGTTTTGGAGAACAAATAAAACGTGCAGAAATTTTACAGGTAGAACTTTACACAATGGCTCCCTTCAAGACGAGATCCTTGGTGCCTCTCATACCTTTCAACTGTGACTATTAAAACAGAGTTCCTTATGTCTAAGGGCTTTAAGATGAAGCCAGGGAGCCATCAAGGAATGGGGGTCTTAGGCATGTCCTCATGGGGCAGAGCATGACCTTTTGAACTGAGTAACTGCAAGAAATCTGCAGCTCGTCACAGTGAGACTTCTGTCTCCCTCTAACTAGCTTTATCCATCATGCTTAACCAAGATTAGCTTTCTGTCACCAACCCTAATTAACAATTCTTTCTAATAAACCTCTCTCTTTTGCCTTTAAAAGCCCCTGCCCCTTACTCCCTAGCGGGACACTATTTGGGCTGCTTCCCAAATCTTTGTACCCCAAATGGCAATTCTTTGATCCCAAAATAAACGCCTCTCATTTTGACTATTTTTAGGTTAACATAACTTTGTTGCAACTATTTCCTCTTTCTGTAGGGCTCCTTTACAAGAAAGGCCTAACATCAGATTGTGTTGCAGGAACAAATTGATTGCTCTAGTCTGAGATTTGGCAACAGAGAAACTATGCTGAGTCAACGTGACTAAACATCGGGACACACCCAAGTTATTACAGAATAGGCATTATTTTAGGCAAACATGTTTAAATATCTAATCAAACAGCCAATAATTTTTTTTTATTACTAATGTTACATGCTACACAGCCTTCCCATTTCTTCGTTAAGGTGCTAACTAGCAATAAATAAATAAATAAATAACTGCTTCCCATGATTGTTGGAAAACTCCAGCAAACTGGCTTAAGGAGAGCAGGGCTGGGACAAAGGCAAGACTCTCCCGCAGATGAACGGATAAAGCCAGGGCTTGCCAGAGCTGGAGCCGGAGCTGCAGGCTGCTTCATGCTGACCTTTAGTTTTTAGGAAATCCTCACATGCTTGGCTTGGCTTAAGAAAAAATAGTAAGAATGTTTACTGTTCTCCTTAACATTTTGCCTTATCCTAACTCCCCAAATCCCAAATCAAAGCATGGGCAGGAATTCTACAAAAACAGCCCTTCTATGCAAATCTTCTAGGGCAGAGAATTCTTTGATTTATGAAGGGTTCAGAAAAGGCCTGCCTAAGATGCACCACTTTGGCATGAAATATTTTCAGCTAAAGGCAATGGAGACCCTGCGGACTCAAGAAACTTTTTACCTCTTCCTTAAAGAATTTCAACTGGGGACTTGTCCATAATAAGAGCTATTACCAGAAATAAACTTTTATCACCAATCAGTATAGCAGGACAAACCTCTAATTAGTGGGCATCTGCTCTTCTTATTGCCCCGTGAATTACTCCACTCCCCTCTGAAGCCTCAGGCCCCTATCCCATTCCTTAGCTCAAGACGGCACACGTACCTCAATTCACCTCTTTGTCTCTGACCCTCTCATGTCTGTGGGGTTCCCATATGTACAAAATTAATTAAATTTGATTTTCTCCTATTAATGTCTCATGTCAATTTAATCTTAGACCAGCCAGAAGAAACCAGAAGGGCAGAGGAAAATTTCTTTCTTCCCCACACTTACATAAGAGGGTGTGCGAGTAACATACTAGTTAAGGCAGATTTGACAATCCCAGCTCTGTAACTCACTTGCTGTATAATTCCTGTAACTGGACTCCAACGGCTTGTTCGAATGACAGGTAGAAAGCAATTCTGAAAAAACCCAGAGACTATACATTCTAAAGCTACAGTGTAAGCATGTGATGTGCTCAGAAAAGCTAAAAATTTAGGACTGTGCAAAGACAAGGACCTCCCAAGGGAAAGTGGAAAAATCTCCTCATCCAACCAAAAGTGGAATGACAAGAAAAATCAGAAAAGTAATGCATTAAATGTGCACGGTTCCATGGGACCTCCTGACAGAAATTCTGAACTATCAGCTTTCTGAGAGACACGGTGACTCGGAGAGCAACTCTAGTTAGGGATCAATCCCATATGACACTGGATGAGGTCTAGTTATAGTGGACAGACAGCTTTTAAAAAACTAATTCAATTTAAACGAAAAGTCCAGTGGAGTTCAGGAAGACATGGCCTAACGTAACCCTGAGAGGTGAGCTAACTGTTAAGGCCGAGTCCCATGGAGAAAACAACGATCAGAAGAGGCCCAGAGCATGCTCTATGGCTTAGCTGGCTGTCTGCTGGTTGCCCACACATTTTGCACTGCCTTCTACTGCCGATAAACCGGCAGTGCTCCCCTAGGATCTAGGACCTACGACTCCACTGTGTGTCAGCTCCAATCCCACTGGCCTATTGCTGGGTATCACTCCAGCAGACCCTCCGTTCTGGTTTCTTCCCATCGTCAGGTTCTCTCTTCCAGTTCATTCATTCCAATCAACATACACACATGCTGGGCTATTTCCTTTCTTTAAAATAAAAACCTCTTGGGGCTGGCCCAGTGGCGTAGCAGTTAAGTTCATGTGCTCCACTTTTGCAGCTCAGGGTGCGCAGGTTCGGATCCCAGGCACGGACCTAAGCACCGCTTATGAAGCCACGCTGTGGCAGGCATCCCATATATAAAGTAGAGGAAGATGGGCACAGATGTTAGCTCAGTGCCACTCTGCCCCAGCAAATAGAGGATGATTGGTGGCACATGTTAGCTCAGGGCTAACCTTCCTCAAATAAAAAAATAAAAACCTCTCCTTGACCCTATATCCCCTTCTCTTCTTTCCTCTCAGTAAAAATCTCTGCAAGAATTATCTGTACTCACTCTGTCAACTTTCTCTCCTCCCATCTTCCCTTGAATCTCCTCTAGTTAGGCTTTCTTCGGCACCAGTCAGGAAAACGCTCTACTCACCAAAGACCTTGCTAGAGTAGAGACACTCCTGATATCTCCTCCCATGGGAGGCCATCTCCATTACTGGAACATTCCTGCTTCCCTCAGTCCCTCACACACTCCCAGGAGGAAGTTGCCCCCAGGCATGGACAACCCAGCCACTTCCTCCCTCTCTGAGGACCTCAGCTGCCTTCAGGAACATCCTCTGTTGTCCTTCTCTACTTTTGCTACTTAAAGGGGGCCCCAGGAACAGCAGCATTGACATCTCTTGGAAGCTCATTAGAAATGCAGAATCTCGGGCCCCAACCCAGGTCTCCTCAGCCAGAATCTGCATTTTAGTAGGTCCCAAGGTGAGTCTGGTGGACGACAAAGTTCGAGAAGCACTGCTCCCACAACCCCCTAATTCTGAGGTTCGGTATGAGGAAATCCATTTACCCACAGATGTAAGCCACAATCTCCAATCGCACCTTCAATAGTAATAAGGGTGAAATTTTGATCTCCTATCTGCCTTAATTTTGTTGACTGGTTGGCTCTGAAACTGGGAAAAAGTGATGGTATTCACTGACTCTCTCCAGCTTCCTAGACCTCTCTGTTGCTAAAACCTGTACTCACTGCTCAGTTCTTATTTTAGCGTGTCAGCTGTACTGGACACAGTTATCACTTCCTCCGTCTTCAAACACTTCCTTAACTTGGTTGCCAAGTAACACTCTCTCTTCGTGGCCACTTCTCTTCATCTTTGCTGGATCGTCCTCCCTCTTTCCGACCTCTACATGTTGCAGTGCTCCAAGACACAACCCTTGGTTCTCACCAGCGACACTCATTCACCAGGTCTCCTTACCTCTCGTCTTTATCTGTCACCTTCATGCTGACAACTCACAAATAGATGTCTCCAGCCCCACCCTCTCCCCGCAAATCCAACTAGTACATCCAATTGCCTCATCAACTACACATTCAGGCAGAAATGTTGATATCTCAAAGTGAACATGGCCAAAATCAAATTCTTAATTCAGTAGCACCCCTTACCTGTCCTCTCAATCTCCTCCATCTTAGGGAACTGCAGCGCGGTTCTTTTGCTCAGGCACACATCCTTGAGTTACCTTTCTCTTATCTCTCTGACTCTACACGCAGTCCCTCAGCAAACCGTTAGCTCTAACATTAAAACCTATCCTGAATCTGACCATTTCTTCCGCCTCTACTGCTCCCACCTTGGTCCAAGCTGCCATCCTCTCCCCTGGAATTGGGGTAACCATCTTCTATTTTGTCTCCCTTCTTCCACTGGTTCCTCTAACCCCACACACAGGCTGTTTTCCACTTAGGAGTCAGAACAGTCTTTTAAAAACACACATAGGATCATGTGACTCAACTACTCAAAATCCTTCACTGGCTTCCTATTTCACTCTAATGAAATTAGTTAACCTCAGCCCTAAACCACCTGGTCCCTGGCTACTTTGTGACACCATGGCCCCCCTAGAGAGAGCTCTCCCCCTTACTCCACACCAGCCTCCTTGCTCTTTTTGGAACCTACTGAGGACACTGCTGCCTCAAGGGCTTAATTTCTCTGCCTAGTGACCTCTTTGCCTGGGATTTGCATGGTTTACCCATCCTTTCATTCAGGAGTCTGCTCAAATGTCATCTCCCAAGAGAGGCCTTCCCTGATCACATGATCTAAAAAGACGCCTCCGTCCCATCCCTTCTAATCTCATGTTCTGTTTTGCTGTGTATTACTTACACGTGACATTCTAAATTTGTGTCACAAATGTCTTCCCTCACTGGAACGGCGGGGCCACAATTGCCAGGACTTGTTCTGTTTGCTGCTGAAGCATCCAGAAGGCACAGAGGGCACAGGGTGGGCACTCAGATGTGAGTTGAATGAAGCATTCCTTTTTGCCTGAATGCTGCTTTTCCCTCCCTCTTTCTGTTTGTCCTCAATCACCCAGGACAATGGTCCCTGCTCATCCTCTGCTCACAACTGGGACCTGGTGAATTAAGCCGATATGGTAACATTTTTGACCCCCCACCCAGCCCCTAAAACCCCAAAAAACACTACAGAATCACTGGTAGCTAAATAAAGAGAGGCTTCAGGAGAAAAAAGACAAATCTTCCACCTCAAACAGCCACATCCATATTTGAGAGGAAAGTACTTTTAGAGAAACAGCACCACATTAGCTTTCCTGATTAGTAATAACTGCTGTTTGGAATTATCAGCAAGGAATATGTAGGTCATAGCATCGTGACTTTTGTCCTACAAAAGTAATATTTTGCAAGTCAAGAAAAATCTTCGCGTAAATATCTTTCGAAGGGTGCAAGAATAAATGCACATCAAGAGCCTTCTGATGCACTGGCTGCACCTTTATTATTTTTACCTCGTTCACCAACAGCTCCGTGATGCAAGGTTACCATACACAGTTAGATAATGTCTGCATTGCACATCTAAGGCTATACAGCAAAAGAACCAGAATTAGTACAAATACAAGAACTATATTTACATTCTGTATACTCAAGCTCCAAACATCAGATATTTACATAATAAAACATGAAAATGAAAGTCTGAAATTAATAATGTACATTGTTGCTAATGTGCTCAACTCCTCCGCTGGGTAGAGATCAGTTTGCAAAGTCTTGGTTCAAAAAGGCCACTTATGCTTCATGGGTTTTGTTGTAGTGCACAAGGATGGTGACAAGAGACTTGAAATTTCAAGGACAAGTATTTTAGAGCCACAAAATCTAAGACAATTCCTTAAATGTGAGAGGGCTGATGGATTCCTTAGGTGAACTGATGCCAGAATATGCAGCATGAAAAAACTTGAAGACATGAAAACAACACACAACAGCCAGGGTTTGGCAAGAGACCAACCTCAGCTCAGACTTTCCACTTGAGCATAGCCGTTTGGCTGTGAGTTTTTAACATGAAATTTGCATCAACTCTAATTTCTTTCTTTAAATGATTAGAGGCTTTCCTAGGATTTTATGGGGCTCAAATATGAATTTCATAAATGGCCTTTTGAACAACAATAGCAGATAATCTCTCAGCTGATATTTCAATTTACTAAGGAAGCACAAATCAACACATTCCTTCTACATACAGTAACGGTCGGGCCACACACTTGGGTGAATCATTATTGGCCACGGTGGACAGCTGCAGTGTGCACGAGTTAGAGTCCTATTTAAAATACATTCAGCAAACCTTCTGAGAGTAGCAGCAGAATTAGTTTTTTCTTTTAGAGGAGCAAGTTAACAGTCACATTTTAAAAAGGGAATCAAAAGGAAAAATGAAGGAGCCAAGTCAAACAAACGAACAAGCCCTGATACTGTCCGGGAGAAGCCGAGTGGACACAGCACAAGGGAATGCAGAGTACCGATAGGTGCTACACGCTAGGTCATCTTTTCTTTTCCAGTCCAATGTGCAATTAATTACAGCTGTATAAATATACAAATACCTTACAAAATTAAATATCCCTGTAAATTAGACAACAAGCAGCAGGCAACAAAGTCTTTGCTTTGAAGTATGTGCCAGGAGAAGTCATTTTATTTTTAGATCCTAAAAGACCTTTCACAACGATTTAATTTATTCCTTCATCTTAAGAGCTAAAAAAGAAAAAACCCATAAAAAATATGAGTAGTTGTATAAGTTCTATGTCGCTGAAGGGAGAAAAAGAAGTGGTTTCTTCGTTGGGAAAAATCCTTTTCCCTCGCCTTCACCACGTTTTAACCACGTACTGGAATTCAAGTGCCAGCCCGCTGCCGAGGCAGCCCCTCCCTGCACTCCTGGCTGTGTGCAAGGGCTGGCTGGCCCCGCACAGCCAGGCCTGAGAGCTGACTGACTCCCAGGCAGGCGCAGAGACAAGGACAGTGTGAGCACTGGTTTGGTGTGGGCTGTGAGGCCATATTTCGCTTTGGCAGGAGAAAGGAGAATGGGGGAGGGAGGGGAAATGACTAGTTTTAACTAGTAATCATTTCTCCTTAATTTGTGTAAGAGTTTTCTTTTCTTTCTTGCTTCTTTTTTTTGGCTTGTTTAAAGGAGTGCTTTAGGGGGGGAAAAAAAAACCTCAAAAGGTGATTTCCTTAAAGGTTAAGTTCGTTCCTCAACTTTCCTGCCACTATGGCTTCAGCTAAAGCTTCATTAATAGTTCCTGCCATAAATCTTCTCTCAGAGCTTTAAAGTGGGGATAGACCTGTCCAGAAAGGGAACATCAATTCTGAAATTGTTCCAACTCCAATCTGAAGATGGACCCCTAGAGAAAGAGGGAGACCAACAGGAGCTATCCATACTGTCAGCCATAGCAGAGGCTCCTAGATGATGGAAAGCATGCCCGCCCGCGGCCCCTGCTTCCTCAAGAGACCTTACCTGCACATGTGACCAACGGTCCAGTTCGGCCTGTTCTAATATTTGACACCTCCAAAGCAAAGACTTTCCAAGCCAGTTTTGTTTTAGTTAGGAAGAAACAACAAAAGTCATTTCAGTGTATCATGTGATTTTACTCTCCCTTAGTGTTCCCCACGACCCTTCGTCACAAATATGGATCTTTTTATCAAACTTTGTAACAGCAGCAGCATCCGTGATTTAATTCTAAAAGTAACCTTCAAATTTCATCTTCATTTCCCTGAAATTAGATTTAATTCCAGTCCAGGAAGCTGTCACTATGCACCAACGGATCCTGAATTTGAGTATACACCAGAAGGGCATTTTGTGTCCTCTAGACAATGAAGAAACCTCTAACTACGTTAAAAACCTCACCTACTGCTTAGAAAACAAATAATATCGTTGTTAATGACCTATGTTTTAAGGAGAGGAAGAAAGTTAAAAAAAAATCTACCATAGAGTTTTTATTGACCATTATCTAAATAAGGTCACAGTCTGTGATTTCTATCCTTTCTTTTAGTAAGCTCTCTGTGACTCACTTTTCCTCCCCTTTGCAAGGCGATTACAATGAGCCCAACCAGGAAGTCAGAGCAAGGGTCTGGGTGACGGTGAGCCTGCCGAGCAACCTGCCCAGCAACCGTCTGCAGAGTGCATAAACCCCGCCCTTTGCTGCTGAAAGGAGAAAGTCATCCAATTCACCATCACCTGAGAGTCAGCAAGCTCAAGGCTGAGGACCCTTGGTCTCCACAAAGTGAGGGTGAGTAGATACTTTCCTGAATGCCTGAGGGATGGGCAAACAGAAAGGTTTGAGCAAGAAAGGTAAAAAATGATACAAAACAAGCCCAAGTCAACCAGCAAAGCAACTGAAGTAACCTGGAGGCCTTCTTTTCTCCACGTCATTCCTGTAAAACTTACTGGCAGCTGAAAGAAAAAGAGTATCTTCTATGATGGCTTCTGGAAGCCGATGCCCCTGTTCTGTCAGAGAAAGAGACTGTCAGCAGTGAGCTTCCTCCTTTCTCCCCTGGCAAGAGTTCCATACCCGATGGAGACAAGCAAGGAGGAGAGGCAAGGTGGATGCAAGCAACAAACCACTGGGGCCAGGGCTCAGGTGGACTCTCTTCTCTGCCCCCAGGTGTCCTTTTGTTTTGTTTTTAAGCAGTGGGAGGGGGTTGATTTTAATCCTGGGTTCCAGAAAACAAAGCCTGCCATGTTTGCTTATTTACGAGTATAGGGAGACAAGCATCACTGAAAATATTTTCAATTTGACAAAGATCATTGAAAATGACCACTGGATTCAGAAGGAGACTTTCAAGTTTATACTTGAAAGCTACATTTCTTTGATCAAAGGGAGCTACAACAAGCACAAGGTCACTATTCAGCATTATAATTATAATGACAACAAAGACCATCAAGTTCATCACCAGAAAGTGAAAGACTCCCTCCTTGCGTGATATTTGTGTATAACACGGCACTAATTCCAGACTACCACCATCAACACTAATTCCAAGCCCAGAATTGAGAAACTCTGAGAGAAGGGGTTTCCTTCCAACTGAGAAAAACAGTTCACAGGAATTCTGCTGTGAGGAACTATAAGCATCCTACTGACTGTCTGCCTTCATGGCTCACTGCCAAATCCTCTGGCCTTTTGAAATCCTCCAGCCGTATCCTTGGCTCCTCCCTTCCGACAAAGTCAATGGCAGCCAATGCACAAGCCTGCTAAAAAGTCCTCTCTCCTCTCTTCCACTAAATGAAAATTACATAACTATGTTCTAAATAAGCCCCAATTTCAGAGACTGCACCTGTCCCATTTCCAAGCTTACCACACCCTTTTCCCTGAATGGAAAATGCAGGGATTAGCCATGGCAAAAAGAGACAGAAGGGAAAAAGGTCAGTTTTCTCCTCTCAGGTTTTAAGAAGGCCAGATATCTCCTCCCTTAGTCTCTAAGCCACCCAAGAAAAATTAAAGTGATATCACAAACGGAAAAAAAAGTATTATGTTGTCTTGAAATACAGACAAAGATATCCAAAGACAGCAGTACAGACATCAGAGGTGGTCATAATGGGGACCTATCATACAAAAGGAAGCCAAATACGCCAAAAGATAATTTGGAGATTTAGTGGATCCCCTCTGGGTTGTATTTTTGTTTGTTTGTTTCTTCCCCTTTTGTTAGGCCACATGCTTTTAATAAGATTCTCAGCACAGGAAAAAAGAAAAGAATACAGAGCAATGGAGATGGGGAACAGGAGAGCTAGAAAAAGTGCGAGACAAAGGGAGTAGTTAAGCCACAGGATTACATACAAGAGTAACCGTCAAGAATCACAAAGAGAAATGAGAGGTAACACTTTCTTTATCTCTTGGAAGGTGAGTGAGGGCGCTCAGCAGAGTCGCTCAGCAGAGTCACTTAGAACTTCGGTTGGCTGGGGCATCTGCGGGAGAGTTTTGACCTATGGGTGACAAATGCAGAGGCAGGATTAGAAAACTGATCTAGAAGGTCTTCTCCTCACAGGTCTTTTTCCTCTCTGGTTCCCTCCTCGAACTTCCTCCTATCCTGCTCCACAGGCCCAGGTCTCCAGGCTCCCTGAACAAACAGGCTAGGCTGTGGTCTTCTCCATCCTGGTGACCCTGGGACACAAGCCCCTCCCCTAGGATCTGGGGCTGAATATTGGGAGACCATTAAGATTCTCATAATCTTCCCTTTACACATTTCCACAGACTCCAGCTGCAGACCCCTTAAGAACAAAAAGTCAAAGCAAGAGATTAATTGGATGCAAATGCGAGTCTCCTTAGCCGTTCAGGACACTAGATGATCCCTTATGAAAAGCTGAAGCCTCAGCACCACCCTACAACCACACTTACACTCCCGTCCTTCCTCTATTTTAAACCAGTTTGGAACAACGCTTCCTTTCCTGTTTATGTTGATGTCCTGGAACCAAAAGCCAAGGAGAGGAAGGAAACACAGGAATGACTTCTTACCGTATTGTGCCAGCAAGGAGTGGGTTAAAGGCATATAACCAGTCATTCATGTCTTTGTCATTGAGAGCCTGCAAAAGGACTCCCCGGTGCTTTGTGCACACAGCAAAGGTGTTAGGTGTCTGAAAGAGACACAAGAAGATGAGAAAGTCAGTATGGGTGCTGAGCAATGGGGACCACCCTGCCATAGTCATAGGCAAACAGTACTTCTCACTGAAGGTTCAGAGAGACCAGATATAAAGAAGACATTCCACACTATACAACAGAGAGCTCAGTACTCAAAAGGGAAAGGCATGCATGGCGATGAAAAGCCAAGAGAGGGAAGAATGACCTTCACCATGGCCTGCTGGTCCTCACTGTATTCCACCTGTGCCGTGGACAGGTTAATGATGCCACGCTCCACTGGGTCTTTGTCACTGTTATAGATGAAGACATACGGGCGACGGACTATGACAAAATGTTTAGCCCAGTTACTAGAAAGTGGCTCCTTGAAATGCAGGTATCCTTTCTTAGAGACCACTGAGCTAAAAAGGACAGTACAAGAGAGGTTAGTTTCTCACAAAAAGAAAATGATCATGAGCTGAACACCATCAAAATATACCTAGGCCAAGTCCCTACACTGAACGAAACAGGTAAATGATCTATTTGGCCTAGAATCTCATCTGCCAAAGTAAAACAGCAAAAGAGTACAAAGCACCACCACAGCATGCTGTGCCAGGGTGGTAACGCATTACAAGACACATCTGGAGTGGAAACCCACCCCAGCTCCTTCACCCCAGGTTCCATTTGCATTAGACTATAATATAGACCTCATGTAGAAGAGCTAGAAGTAAATTCTTATTGCTGATTTGATCTGTCTTTAAACCAGACAGATTTAAACTCCTGGTCAATATACTACTCACCCCGGTCTAATTTCTTCAATATCTGGAACAAGATTGAGAAATTCATTTTTTCCTGCTCGGGCCAAATAGGGCGTTTCCACAGTTGGAACAATCTGAAACTGTTCAAATTCTGGGCAGGGACTAGAGGCCCTGGAATTGGCTTCTGGAGTCCTTTAAAAGAGAGGGGTTAGGAAGAAGGGGTTCGAGGTTCAGTAAGGTCAAAGCATGATGTGTACAACCATCTCACCGGGAGGAACAATGCCTCTCCCTGCATACCAGGGGCCTTGTAAACATCAGTTTCAGAGAGCTCAGCTGAGAAGACAAGCTGGTGTCAGAAAGTTAATCCCAAATTCAACTGGTGTCATCCTTTGGAAGATACAAAAGGAAATTGATCATTGATGACCACCAAGTCTCTTCTTATTGTGAAGCCCTCTGAATAGAAGTGTCTGGAATATGAACTCCATTCCCTTATATGTTTCTAATTTAGTCTCAAGGCAACACCTAGGGCAGTGGTTCTCAAAGTGTGGTCCTTGACCAGCGGCATCAGCTTAACCTGGAAACTTGTTAGAAATTCAAATTCTTAGGCTGCAACCCAGACCTACAGAATCAGGAATTCTGGGTGGGATTCAGCCATCTGTGCTTTAACAAGCCTTCCAGGTGATGCTGATCACATTAAAGTCTGAGAACCAGTGCCTTAGGGATTGGCAGAGAAAGCAAACAAACAGGAAGAACCTGGGGTCCTGAATGACCATGGAGAGCAGAGCTGCGTCACCGACCGGGACCAGTCCAGGACTGGTATGTGAGAAATAATTCCTATGCGCTATATTGTTAGTTATCTTGGTAGAGCAGCTTAGCCTAGTTAATCGTATTTCACCAATTCTAAAAAGCCCATTTTTCTTATACTTTACCATTTCTCGCATTGGGATGCATCTTAGAATTGATGGCATGTCACATTTTAATTGGCAGTACTTTTTCTTTCTCAGTGGCACATGAAATAATGTCTTACATTCGATGGCATCCTAAATTTAATTATTTTCTCCAGCCACACTCAACTGTGTCAGTGTTGGTACAGTAAGATAGACAATGAGTTAAGATAAGCAGGTGAGTTCTGACAGGTGAGCATAATGAATGGAGACAGGGGCAAAGGAATGTGATGGTGCATTGCAAAGAAGTGATTATAATGATGAATTCATGGCATCTAGAATAAATCTGCGTCACCAAAAATATTTTTTCCAAAGTAGTTTTAAAATATTTTTCCCAAGATGGGGCTTCCTACGCATGATATGATTAGGGAGACAAGCAGGGGTGGAAATGGAAGGACAAAAGGAGCAGATAGGGATTAAGAATAGAAGTCAATGATTTGCGCAGAAAGTGAGGAAAATATGATGTTAAAAGATGTCCGTAGCATCTCCCCAGTCATTGTGATATCCAGAAAGCACGCCCACATATTTCTGAAAGTTGCCTAGGGGGATGGTGCTGCCCTCAGTTGAGAACCACTGAGCTGGAGGAAGGCTGGCATTTCCCTTGGTTCTCAGATTAGCTTCTCTCAATGAAATCTGGGTACTTACTTCTGATCCAAAGAGTTGCTCCTAGAGTCTACCAGAGAAGGGCAGGTGGAAGAGGGAGTGAGGGTAGCACTGCTGAAACTGGACACAGAAGGATCCCGTCCAATTGGAGAGATATCAGACAACTGGAAGCAAACAGAACACAGCAAGTGAGACTCAGATGAAAAAAAGTCCTCTGCAACAAGGAGCTTTGACAACCAGTAACCACACTTTCATAAAGCTTCTGCTTCAGGTCATTCAAAAAAATAAGCCTAGGGGCTGGCCCCGTGGCCGAGTGGTTAAGTTCGCGAGCTCCGCTGCAGGCGGCCCAGTGTTTCGTTGGTTCGAATCCTGGGCGCGGACATGGCACTGCTCATCAAACCACACTGAGGCAACGTCCCACATGCCACAACTAGAAGGACCCACAATGAAGAATATACAACTATGTACTGGGGGGCTTTGGGGAGAAAAAGGAAAAAAAATAAAATCTTAAAAAAAAAACAAAAGCCTTACAAATATCTTATGGCCTGAGCGTCACATTAGGAATCAAGACATTTACAAAAGAGGCAAGGGTGGCTTTTTACAGTATTGCTACTGCTCTCCTGCATTAATTAAATGACTCTATCTATATGTGCCAAGCACTTAGAACAACAGACGCTGTTCTAGGAATATGGCAGAGAACCTGCCCTCCTGGAGCTTACATTCTAGTGGAGAAGGCAGCCAATTAATCAATCAACAAATACTTTAAGAAGCAAAAGACAAAGCAGGGAAAGAGGTTACAAAGTTACAGGGAGCTGCTGGATTCACTTAGGGTCGTTAAGGAAGTCCACTCCAAGGAAACAATATTTGAATAGAAAAATAAAATAGATGAGGGAAGCAATAATGAGAATATCTGGAAGAAGATTATTCTGGGCAAAGGAACAGCAAGTATGCAAAGACCCCAAGGCAGGAATGAACTTGGAGTGTTTAAGAAATAGCAGAAAAGGTGAAGATGACTAGAATATAGTGAATGATACAGAAGTTTTAAAGTGTTCACCTCACTCTTCATCAAAGGCAACAAAATTTTATGCCACCAAGAACCTCAGGACTTCTTAGGCCCTGTTATACAATAATACACCACCCCCTAAAGAATATTCTTCTCCAAGGGATTCAGGGAAAAGCCGAAATGTTTCCCATCTGATCATCATTCTAAGAGACACAGAGGAATACTTTTATCGTCAGAAGGCAAAGTTCTGACTCGGACAAATCAAATAAATACAGGAACAGATATGTCATACATCCTCAAATACACTGCCAGTGCCCATCTCAAGCCACCCAAAAGCAGTGTAACCTGGGGACAGGAAATCTGAGATGCTCACCTTACAGTCACTGATGCTGCCGTGCACCTGGCTGAATTCTCGGTTGAAAGTGTGGGTGAGAAGTTGCAGGCACTAGGGAAGAGAAAGGGAAATGTAAGTTTCCCTGGTTAAAGCAAGCCCTGGATACAAAGCAGGAAGGGAAAATAACATGCCTAGGACCCAGAGTGGAGCTCAGATGCTGCCCAACCACCTCTAGAAATTAACTAAGCATATAGCAAGGGAAGCCTAGTATATGCCTAATAAAGAGCAAATAAAAAATAAGTGGATAAAAAGGCCATTTTCAAGACTACAAAAGTGAATTACTGCAAACACCATAGTTTAGACGTGTTTAAGATACAATAGCATCCTTTTCATTTTCAATTCGCCCTGGTATTAAAAGGCGTGAAGGGTTCTAGATGGACATACTTTCCTAAATCAACTAAAAGACTATTCGATTATTGAAACAAAACAGACACAAAATCTCTCTCATTACTATATTCCATCGTCAGCCAGTTGCTCAAACACCATATGCCTTAGAGTCATCCCCAACAAGCCCTCTGCCCTCTCCCACTACACATCCAGGCAACAAGGAATGCAATTCTACCTCCCAAATTCCCCTTCTGTAATACCCCTTACCCTTCATCCCGCAGACCCCTGCCTTAGTTAAAAACCTTTATCATTGGGGCCGGCCCCACGGCCGAGTGGTTAAGTTTGCATGCTCCACTCCGGCGGCCCAGGGTTTCACCAGTTCGAATCCTGGACCCAGACGTGGTACCACTCATCAGGCCACGCTGAGGTGGCATCCCACATGCCACAAGTAGAAGGACCCACAACTAAAAAAATATACAACTATGCACCGTGGGGTTTTGGGAGAAAAATGAAAAATAAAATCTTAAAAAAAAAAAACCCGTTATCCTTTCTCATCTGGATTATTGCAATAAAGAGTTCTTCCTGCCTCCAGTTTATGTCTTCACCACAAATCCATCCTCCTTTATTACTGCCAGAAAGTCTTTCTAAAACACAAATACCTGTTTAAAATATTTCTGCATCACTCCCAGGATACTCTAAACTCTTTAGTACAATACAAAGATCCTAATCTAGCTCTGGCCCATCTCTCCAACTCCATCTCCTGTCCCTCGGCCACGTGAATTCCCTAATACTGAGGGACACCACTAGCTCCCTCTTGTGCATCCTTCCAAGGTCAGTTCATGAGCGCCCTCCTGTGGAGGCCTCCCCTCGGGCTCCCACAGCATTCTAGGCATACACCTCTATTAAATGCTTGTCATCCACTCGCCTGTAAGCTTATTAAGGGTAGAAATGGAGTCTGATTTATTTCTATATTCACAGTGTTAGCACAGGCCTTGAAATAGAAGGCCTTAAAGGAAAATGAAAAAACTGACAGACCAGCTCACAGTCTCACAGTGGGAAAAGACGCAGCAAAGAGGAAGGGATTCACACCTTGGTAGCCAGCTCTTTCTCTCGATCCACTAGGCTTTCAATGTCTGCTGAGTCATAGCCACTGCTCTCACTGGGTGTGATGGCACTTTCAAAGGTCGTGGTTGAAATCTGAGAGGAGATGCTGGTGGAGGTGCTCAGGGTCCCACTGCTGAGGCTGGGGGACAATGAGTCACTCAGGGATTTGGGAATGCTGTCACCAAGTCTCTCACGCAGCAGCAGGAAATGGCGGGTTTTCTCCACCTAAGAAGATCAACACTATTGCCTCAGCAAACACAAAGCTCATTACAATTTTAATAAGCAAAACACTATGCCTCCATCATGATCAAAAACTGAAAACCCAGGATCATAGAGAGAAGGTACACATAAGACAGACACTTTGGAAATCTTGCCCAAAAGTTCATTTGTGCATCTGCTGCCCGTGGATACCTCGTGGAGGAGCTCCAGCTTCTCTAACTCCCACTGGTGCTCAAGGATGAGGCTGTCTCCACGCGGCCGCCAGCCTGCTAAGTTCTCTTCTCCCCGCACATACGCCACTGATGTATCCAAGATTTTTCTTCTCCTCCTCTGCATGCCTGAGACAAGAGGAAACAATTATTTTTTTCAGAGAAAAATCTAATTCCAATTTTAGCTCAAAATGAATTAATAACTCATATACATGAAAATCTAAGAGAGAATGGTCTCAAGACACAGAGGGTTTTGTTTATTCATAAAAATTCATCCCTTTTTCCCTAAAGCAACTCTCTGAACTTGTTTTATTATTTATTTATTTTATTTTTTCGTGAGGAAGATTGGCCCTGAGCTAACATCTGTTGCCAATCTTCCTCTTTCTGCTTGAGGAAGACTGTTGCTGAGCTAACATCTGTGCCAATTTTCCTTTATTTTACATGGGACTCCACTACAGCGTGGCTTGACCTTGCAGTGCTAGGCCCACGCCCGGGATCCAAACCTGAAAACCCCAGGCCACTGAAGTGGAGTGCACAAATTTCACTACCTCACTGGGCCAGTCCCTCCGAAGTTGTTTTAAAACTGAGTTTTATATTCTCTGATAATTATGAAGACGGCAATACAACTTGATAAAATGCTAAAGTTACTATGTTAAGTGAAAATATAGAGATTAAAGAGTCTGTACACTATGGTTCCAAATATATAAAAGTACATTCATAGGGAAAAAGGTGGGCAGGGACTACAAACCCATCCCCCACATTCAAATAGGTCAGTTACGGTGGCAGATGACAGGTGGCTTTAGCCCCATCACTTCCCGTTAATATTTTTAAAATGTTATACTGGTTTGACATATAAAAGACATGAATTTATGTTAATTTAAAAAATTCCTCAAGGAACTATCTGGACACTATAATTAGCTGCCATGGGGACTTGGATTCATACCAAAGTTTTCTCTGCTTTGATCTAATCTTACCTGTGGGCTCTGCCCTTTTCCGTAATGTTCTCTAAAATGATTCAAACTCACATGAATCAAATGTTTTTCAAAACCCTGACTTCTGTCTATGTTCCAGTTTACAAACACAGAAATGCAACATGCTGCTTAAGGCCGCCGAGCTGGAGGGAGAACAGCCATGCAGAGAGACATCAAAAAGGAAACGGAACAAGCTCAGCTTATTAATTCGTCTTCTAGAGCAGACGAAGTTCAAATTCTAGTTTGACGGCACCTGTAAAGTTACTGCTAAGTTATCTTTAGGGCTAAGGTGGAGAGGGAAATGGTTATGAAGTTTTTCAAGCTAAGTTCATTCTAATACACTTGAATATTTATAATGTTCTAAAGCCCAGTAACATATTATTTGATGCAGTTTTTCATAAACCAAACCATGTTGCAACTCAGAAAAAGGTAACTCCTACCACCACCACCACCACCACCAAACTGGCTTGTAAAGTAAACGAGTTTCTAAAAAATTCTGTATCTATCCTACACAGGGAGACTCTCCAATTTTTGACATAATATACTCCAAACATATGCAAAGGTAACTATCCCTTCCCAACCCATAAGAGCTTACCTGGACTACCTGTGTCTGCCATTTTGCATAAACTGAGTTCATAAATTCCAGTGACGCGATTGCTATTTGAATTAAAACAAATAGTTGCTTAATTTTGTGCAGTACAAAAACAAGAAAATCTCAAGTGTCTCTACTTAAAACACTGTCTTCTCTGTAGGGACTGCAACCACTCGCAAATATAATTACAGACATTTCTTATCAGTCGCTGTTCTTTTTCTATGCTGAACTTAAGAAGTATATCTTATTCCTAGAAGGAGTCCGTTTTCATCTCAATTTTTTGAATATTCTTATTTCAATAGGATCAATAAAATTGAATGATAAACTAGAAAATGTGTAACACAAAAGTGAATTAAAAATTTGCCTTTTCTTACCAAAAGAGAGAGAATGAGAGAGGAGAAAGTCTGACTAGAACAAAATGATGAACATTAAATTCTGGGGAGTGTGATTAGGAAGGGGTACTGACCCTTCTATTGTATTAGTAATCTTTATTTTTTAAGCTGGGTGGTGATGCAGCACGAGTATTCACTGTATTATTCTTGATGCATTTTTGCATATCTTAAATATGAATAAACCTTTAAAAGAAGAAAATCCTAAGTGATCTGTTAAAAAGAAGAGTAATGACATTTAAAAAAAATTTAGTCCCTGAAAAACTGTTTTGGAGGTGTTCACAATGCAACATTCCTTCCTTCGTTAACTCATCATCAGCCATCAATATTTTATTAAATGCCAACATTCAAGTCACTGCACTTCAGGTATCAGTTACCAAAATGGCAGCTTGTAAACTAACCCTGAAACAGCAAGCCAGGGATATCTAGAGCTCTGCTGATTCTGTATTGGGCAAACCAACTGAAAGCTAAACTTGTTGCAAAAACTTACGAGTCTGGTGACTTGGAGTAGCCACTGCCAAAGAGGCTGCGCAGAGAGCGTGGCGGTGAGATCTTGGCATCCCGGGAATAGAAGACCATGCACACATCCTTGGTGATGACAGCTGGCTGGATGCAATGATCCAGCTGAAAGCAGACAAGAGTGGGCTCCGATTAAACGCAGATGGAGCATCTGTGACCATATTTGGAAAGCTGGTCCTAGATGAGGGGGCTGGAGGATTTCAGCTCTACCAATTATTTCGATAGCAACTCAGCGGATAAAATGCGCATGGTTTGTTGGTATTCCTTGCAGATGCATTCATTTTTCTCAAATTTTTTTCTGTAATGACTAATATTTATTATTTAATAAGTGCTAAGCACTGTTCTGAATCCTTTGATATGACCTCTTAGCAACTTTCTGAGGTGAATGCTATTGTTATTATCCCTGTTTAAGAGATGAGGAAATTGAGGCACAGAGAGATGAAGTCACTTGTCCAAAGACAAGCTGGCAGTAAGAGGCAACACAGGAATCTGAACTCAGGCTGGTTCCAAGGTCTGTGCTATCAACCACTACTAGGCTCTGTCCACAACTACAAAAACAAGACGTGAAGTTTTCTTAAAATCATACATTCTTTGAAGAATGGTGATTAGGCTACTAAAGCTGAAGCTATAATAAAGCTCATGTGACTTTTTGATTAAATAGAGATCAGGAACAGAATGTAACATAGTCAGATCAGCAAAGTATAATAAAATAAATAATTTAAGGATGTGGAGGAGAAAGGAGGACAAAAATCAGCTGAATCTTCCCTGCCTATTTCCTGCTGTAACCTGCCTGCTGGCAGGGCTGGCCGTTCATAGAAATTCAAGCTCTGGGTCTCCTCACCTCTAGGTAGGCCGATAAGGTCATGTAGATCTTTTCCCCATAGGGTGTCACTCGGTTCAGAAGGAGAGAGTTATGGAGGGAGCTGTCCCACACAGCCTCGAAACGGTAGAAGGTCCTAAGGTCAGAAAGGGAAGAGAGAGTCATCCAAAAGCAGCTGAAGTCACCTTAGTTTGGGTACTGTCATTGTCAGCAATACTACAGAATCCTACACCAACCAACGCTTTCAATTTATCGAAATCTAACAACAGAGCAGAACCTTCATCTCTTAGGAGGAAAAGATAGGTCCCCATCCTCTTGCCCCAACCTATCATCAAGGAGCACTTAACTATGCTAGTTTTTTGTGGGTTTTTTTAGGCAAGACTGCTTCTCCTCTGCCTATAAACATAAAAATAGTGAGATCAATCAAAGGGATTACGATGAAAAGGATAAGTGAGTATGGACAGAACCTAAAAGAAGGAAGAAAGACTAAGTAAACTCCACTGTCAGTGAATAATGAGAGGAGGAAGCAAATCCTCAGTCAATTGTAAGCTACAGTCTTCATATCACAATCCAGTTCTGCTGAGCCTCAGAAATGTCTCATCATATTTGTGGGAGGATTAATGGAGGAAACAGATAGTAGAATTTAATTACAGAGAACCTCATTTTAAATAAAAGAACAAGAGGTTATGCTTAGCTGATGTATCACTAAGACAATGATTTTTAACACCAGAGCTAGCCAACTGCTATTTGCCAGTTTTCAAAAGAAAATCCTTGTGAAAATCAATCTCACATTTAAATAACAACTACAAGCTTGATTTAATAAATACCCTTAAACTGGTTTTTACTTTGTTCTAATATCTTTTCTCCCACTGGTACACCACCACAGACCCTAATGGACTAAGAACCTTCCAGTTGAGCAAGTCTCATCTGAAGCAGAGCAGTGAGTTCAACACCAGTGTTACAGACCAACCGCCAACTCCGCCCCGCGCCTCCCTTCTCTGACCCACAACAAGTGCTGGGGAAGCTATCTCCTCTCCCCTTGCAGAGCGGATTTTCCATCACCACTGGCTCTCTGCACATGTAGTACACTTCACCCAATTCAACTAGAAAGAGATTTTGCACACTTTGTTCCCTCCCCAATACATTCCTCCTTACTTCTTCCCGATAGATAACTTCGCTGTTGCTCTCTTTTCTAGATTTCCTATGACAAACGGCTGGCCTATCTTCTCTCTAAACACATTCCCACGTTTCCTTCTCCAGAAACAATCAGAGAAAACTATACACTTCTAAAAGAAGTCCTTCACCGCACCTCATCCTCCAAGTGCCAGTGTGTGGAACCTGATCATGTCATTCTGTAGCTGCTTCTGGATCTAAGCCTTCTTGAAGTACTTGATACTCTCTCAAATATCTAGCTTGTGAGGCAGCATGAATGGGTCAAGAAAATTCTCCACAAAGACACCAAAGAAATACAGAAATAACTAACAAGACAAAGACGGGCAAAGTGACCAAGAGACCCAAATAGCAACCGCAACGAAGGACTACTAAGTTTTCCCAAGGCTCCTGGACTCAGCAAACAACTTTATGCATCCAGAAAGCCTTGTTTTGATCAAATCTCCATTTGAATTGGTTTAAGACAAATTCTAATATTGGGTGGTGATATCCACTACTTCAGCAGAAGCCACTGTGACCCTGAGAGCTGCTCTTCTATTGCATCCCTGTGTTTGTGGAGGTGCATGGAATGGGGCTACCTGTCGCAGTGCAAGGCCTCAACACGCTTGTGCTGAAGTGAAATGAACTCCCCTTCTTGGAGTGAGAGCATTTATTACTTTGGAGATTACTTGACAGAAATTCCTATCACTGCTGCCTTTAATCTATGATTCATCAAGTCCCAAACCATAATTTAGCACTTCCCAGTGCCACTACTTAGGTTTCATGACTCTTTCAACTGAGGCAAATGTTTTGAATTTGTGTAAGAATCCCTCTTCATATTTCTATTTTCAGGTTTTCATTTAACATACAGAGAAAATTCACTGGTAGAAACCTGGCCAACATAAAGGAATTTTTGACTCCACTAAAATCTTACTGTTTTGGGGGGAAAAAGTTTTTCATTTTGTTTTGCTTTGTTTGGTGCTTGAGAGTTACTGCAGCACATTCTTTTGGAATACCCACCAAAGGTAGCAATTCTTTTTCTTTCTTTGTTTTTTTTTGAGGAAGATTAGCCCTGAGCTAACATGTGCCAACAATCTTCCTCTTTTTGCTAAGAAGACTGGCCCTGAGCTAACATCTATGCCCATCTTCCTCTATTTCATGTGGGACGCCTGCCACAGCATGGCTTGACAAGCAGTGTGCAGATTTGCAGCTGGGATCCGAACTGGCGAACCCCAGGCTGCCGAAGTGGACTGTGCGAACTTAACCGCTGCACCACCAGGCCAGCCCCAAAGGTGGCAATTCTTGAGAGGTGGTTTAAGAAATACAACCAAGACTGGTGAGAAACGTCAACTGAATCAAGTTTGCAAGAGAATGTAGAGTCAGAAACAGGGCTGAGTCCTGAGACACGTTTTCCGATATGGCTCCTAAGGCTGTTAGGAAATAATCTCAAACGGATTTCTCAAAATGTTCTGAACAATGGCAGTGTATGTGTATCTTTTTTTAAAAAGCATTTTAGGCTACACTGTCATGTATCATATATCCTTCAGTTTTCTTCCCTAAATCAGATGAAGAGACGGGGAAAAAACTTCCTTCACTAGCAAACCAGTACTTTTTCCTATTGCAAAAGAATAAACAGATGAGACAAGCAGCCCTGGAGGGAGAAAGAGAAATGTTTAAAAATAAACAAACTAGTTCTCTTAGACTCAATTACCCAGATAGCTAAGTTGGTCTCTACTAACACACAAGACAAAGCACAGCAAACAGTGAACAATTATGCAAAGCTACAGAGCAACAAACCTTTTGAGCTTTTGACAGAGAGAGGACAGCAAAAGAAAAGAACAGAAAACAAAGCCTAAGATTCCATATGAAATGAGGGGAGTAACATTCTACTTCGTAATGTAGAAGAGGAAAACTCGAAGTGGGATAAGAATAAAATAGACAATTATGAATACAATGAGAAAATAATTAAAAACTCTACAAATCGTTTAAGAAGTTATATGTGAAGCTGTACCTATAGCAGAAAAACCCAGGGCACAAAGGGTACAGAATGAAGTCTTGCTCTATCCTAGGTTTGCATGAGGAAAACCACTAAATTAAAATAGCAGGCAAAGCAACATAAGACATAAAGCATTCTGATACATTAGAACGTTTATGTGCAAAAAAAGCAAACAGAAAATACCTAGGAATATCCTTATCAAGAAAGAGCCTGCAAAAACATAAAAAAACTGTTGTTAGTGCAGCAAACAAAAAGGAAAAAGAAGGAAAGAAAAAAGAAAAGCAGAAGAGAAAAAAACATATAAAAAAGAGAAATTTCCTGATAAGCAAGGTGAATTCAGGTGGACAAAATTCCATGGGACACAATTTGATAGAGGACTTACAATGACATGGGTCCCTCTCCTGAGACATTCAATTAAGGAAAATGCTGGGCATGGAAGGGAATGTGGACACCACCTCCATTAACATCCCTTTCAGAGGTGGCTTAGTATTGGAAATGGTAGGAAGTTGCTGCGGATTGAAGGGAAAAGCAAGTCGATCAGGTAACATAAATGTAGGACTGGGAAGAAAACGAGTAATGGCCCTTGTCAGTTACACTCCACTATCAATGTATCAGAAAAGTCCTCTAATGTGCATATATAACACATCCACACTGGAGCTCTGGAAGTTCAACTTTAACACTAGACCTCAGACAAATAGAACACAAGTTCTCTTAACCAAACTCCATTTAGCAAATTACCATATAACTTATGCTCTTCATGCCCCTAAAATATAGAGACTGACGTCCATTTCTCATTGGACATTCTAAACTAGAGAGATTATCTCGTATGCCCAGATAATTTGCTCCAAAGAGCTGAGGTGTGTGCTCATCAAGTGTCAGTAGTATTTGGTTCCACACCACTTTATGCAGTTGTATTTGTTATTATGATTACCTAATTTAATTAAATATTAGGCAAATCAATAAAATGAGGGCAAAAAATTTTTGTGTGAAACAAAACTAAGTGTGAAAACTAAGTTGAACAGTTTTTTTTTTTGCAAGGGAAGATTTGCCCTAAGCTGACATCTGTTGCTAATCTTCCTCCTTTTTTCTTCCTCCCCTGCCCCTAAAGCCCCAGTACATAGTTGTGTACAGTTGTAAGTTCTTCTGGTTCTTCTATGTGAGCCACTGCCACAGCACACCTACTGACAGACAAGTGGTGTGGTTCTGCCCCTGGGAACTGAACCCGGGCTGCTCAGGCAGAGCGTGCTGAACTTTAACCACTAGGCCATCACAGCTGGCTCTAAGTTGAACATTTTTAAAAGATTTGATAATGGTGAGTTGTTTAAAAACAGCTGTTCAGTTTGGGTGAGATCAATGTAAAAGAAAGGGGGAAATTATAAAATTTTAATGATAAATGATAAAGTTTAAAGGATTTTGCACTTAGATTTTTTTCACAGGTTTCTAGTTCTTATTCCACCAAATTGAAAATCATAGATGATGAATTTTGGTGTTGTTTTACAAGAAAGACAATCAGAAGTCCAGTAAATGAGCCTATAATTAAAGAGAAAAGGCCTTGGTCCTACAGCAAGAGCTTGACTAATGTACATTTATATAGTTTAATTGAAAACAAAAATGTTTAAAGTGTGTATATCTTCTTATTCTTAACTTCAGCCAGTTTTTTTAATTAATTAAATCTAAGCTTCTATTGTGAAAGATAAGCTGCTACTAACAAAGCCAAATTCATCTCCTACAGCCTCTAACCTGCTGCTGGGCATGAATCACAGGATTTCTGAAGGTTACTCTAATGTAGGCAAGTTTAGCACAACCAGCATTTCAACCAAACACCATCTTTCCCTGTGTACTTTCCTAAATACCCTAGAGAAATTTAAGATATAGTTCTCACAGTTGCAAAGAAAATGTGGTGAATGCCAGTTGAATACTTGCTATAAATGTCTGGAGAAGAGAGAATGCTATGTGGAGTTAATGCTGACTTCTGAGAAATAGTATTCTTCAAGATTTCGGCCAGAAATAGGCCAGGGAGCGTCAAAGCACCCATCGTTATCTCTGCCACTGCTCCTTTCAACACATACACATCCTCTCACACTCCTTCCCTGTCTCTCCACAGCCCATGCCAGCTCCTCTCACAGGCAAAAAGCAACAGACATTTGTTTCTTTTTTCTCTTTCTTATGCAAAACTATAACACAAGGAAATAAGGGAGAGAAATTAATCTTGGTCCAAACTTTTATTCTGTTTCTGCCTATTGTCTTATTTTTCCTCTTCCTCTTCCCAACATAGATGTGAGCAAGTGTTTCAGGAGCAGACAGAAGCCAGAAGTCCTGAATTGAAGGCAGTGCTCTGAGCTCACATTAGAACAGGCAGTAACTCGTTTCCAGGGCCTCACTATGTAAAGAAACAGAGTGTCTGTGCAGAATGACGGCACTCCTTTCTTGGGAAGGTAAGAGGGTCCCAGCAGACTGATTTCCAGTGTGACGTGACAAAGTAGTACAGCTGCCTACTTTAGGCATTGCCTCTCATCACTTGATTATAAAATGAAATTTTAAGGGAAACTAATTTGAAATTAAAAATAAAATAAAATTCATTATTTCTAACAGCTAATCTTGGTCAGAAGAGTTTATATTCATTTATCGCCTTTACGCATAAGTCAAAATGAAAAGCAAATACTGACAATCCTTGAGCCTATAGTGGCAGCAGCAAAGATTAAACACCAGAGGGTTCACCATACCTTGGAGGGCATGTTTCCATGACACTTAGGACCAAGAGAACCTTCTCCACAGCAACCACTTCACAGGAAAACATTTAGTCTTAACAATAATTAATTTGTACTATTAGATGCTTGGGTAGCATGCTGAGTTTTCTTTTTCTGCTTTTTCTCTATCACTGTGCTACATCTTCTCAAACTCCATAGGGGAGAGAACACTGCCATTCTCTAAGGTAAATGATCACATACACATATCTCCAATTATTTATTTACTTATTTTTGGAGAGCAAGGTAGGCAGGGCAGGAAATAAGGACTTTTGAAGTGAGAAGGGAATCAGCTTCTTCATCTGAACAGGAGTCACTAATGAGCAAAGACTCTAACGGTGCAGCCATCAACACCCAGGGCTGACAGCACACTCCCGAGGGCCCACCTGCTAGAGCTGTGGGAAGACTTCAGGTACTTGGCAGAGACGATATTTAGGGAGAGGATGGCATCAACTGCAGCTTCATCCACCTCAGCCTTATTCCTAATACGGCCTAAAGGAGAGAATAAAGAAACCACAACATAAGTACATTTAAAAACAAAACAAACTCATTATGCCAAAAAGAGACTTTTCAATCTGTGCGTAACTTCAGGTGCTGTAAGCATCATTTGATTAACAGTAGGATGGTCAGTTTTCCATTCCTCTCCACATTGTCTTCCCTTTACTTCCCACATTTAGTCAACTGTGAAACCTTATTGATTCTTTGTTCAAAAACGTTCTCATATTCATGTCAACTTTTATTCCAGTATCACTGCCCTGATCACAAAGGTCACCACCCTCTGATCTGGGACACTACAATAGCCTTTTTTTTTTCCTAAGCAAGATTCGCTCTGAACTAATATCTGTTGTCAATCTTCCTTTTTTTTTTTTTAATGTGAGCCACCGCTCAGCATGGCCACTGACAGACAAGCAGTGTGGTTCTGCACCTGGTTACCAAACCTGGGTCACGAAAGTGGAGTGTGCCGAACTTTAACCACTAGACCATGGGGGCTGGCCCTACAATAGCCATTTAACTTGTCTACTGGCTGCTCACATCTCCCCCTTTCCAATCCATCCTACACTCACCTTATACAAACTTCTTAAGCCATTGCCTTCACTGTACCACTTTCTTGCTCAAAATCCTACACCTCTGTTTTCAAATTAACACTAGGAGATGTGGCATTGCATAGAAGTTAAGAGTACAGTCTTTAGAGCTGGGCTGCCTGGATTCAAATCTCAACTTCAACACTTACTAGCTGTGAAGCTTGGGCATACTATACTGTTCAACCTCTCTAAGCCTCAGTTTACTCATCTGTGAAGTAGGAATAACAATTCTTCCCCTATAAGATTGTTACAATCATGTTATATGTTTGTTATATTATGTTATATTAAAAATAAACTAATGTTTTTAGAGCACTCAGAAAAGCACTTGTCACACAATAAGCCCTATATAAGTGTTTGTTAAAAAAAAGATTAGCAAGTCATAGGGTTCTTCAGAGAAGCCTTAGTAACCACTGCCTCTGCACCCTACCCAATTCTTTCTTGTTGGAAAGCATCTCTTGCGTTTTGTGTAACAGTGTTCCATATAAAAATTCATTTTTAAAAAGCTTGAAAACCACTGCCCCAGACAGGAGTGAGTGTAATCTCCCTTCTGGAGGTTGCTAATCTGGTCTACAGATACTCAAGGGGTCTATGTATAGAATTCAGGAGGTCTGTAAGCTTGAATGGGGAATAAAAATTACAACCTTCTTTTCACAAACCTCTAACTGAAATTTGGCATTTCCTCCAATTATGAAGGGGAGGGACAAACCACAGGAGAATCAGCAGCACCTGTGACTCTGTCCTCAGTAGAAATCACAGACGTTTTCATATTACACTAATGTAAAATATCTTGACATTCATCACCACTTTGAAATGATAAAAATTAGACCCTCTACTTATTTAATGCATCAATAAAGAGCTTATATTACAAATTGGTTTAGTATTTTAACAATTTCAGTATTATTAGTTCCCTTTGTAATCCTAAATACTTTATTTTCTACATTTAAAAATATAATCCTGAGGCTTCACCACTGACAAAGGGATTCATGGCAATAAAAGGCTCCGACCCTTGGGGCCGGCCCAGTGGCGCAGCAGTTAAGTGCGCATGTTCCGCTTCTTGGTGGCCTGGGGTTCACCGGTTCGGATCCCAGGTGCGGACATGGCACTGCTTGGCAAAAAGCCATGCTGTGGTAGGCGTCCCACATATAAAGTAGGGGAAGATGGGCATGGATGTTAGCTCAGGGCCAGTCTTCCTCAACAAAAAGAGGAGGACTGGCAGTAGTTAGCTCAGAGCTAATCTTCCTCAAAAAAAAAAGGCTCCAACCCCCTGCTTTAGACTACCATTCTAAAGCTTACAATGTATAGTCAATGTTTCCCTCTCACTACTCCATAGTTTAATTTCTCCACTCTGGCCAGGGGTTCTAGCAATTTGCATGTTAGACATCTTTCCCGACTCTTACTCAAAATGTTGCTGTGTGTGGAAAACAAAACAAAGCAAACAAAAATCATCTAATTTTTCTTGAATCTATTCAGATCCTCTCCCATAAAGCTAATCCAGTCCTCCTGGATCCTTTTCGTTGTTAACTCTCTTAGCACCAGTCTTTTTCACTTGTCCTCATTTTGGCACTCATCAAACTGCTTTAAACATATACACGTTGTCTCCTCAACTAAACTGCAAGCACACAATACTTCTCTATGTCCTCTCACAGCCTCTAGTACAGAACCATTCCCAGGGTAACTGAGGAAAATAATGGTCAGTTGAATAACATATCCTTAATGATGGGAGCTGAGAGACAAGAGCAGTTTCAAACTCAAGGCCTCTATATTCTCCATAGTCCGTGTTCTCCAGTCCAGTCTTCTGCACATTCCCTGTGCTCCATACAGGGACTAATGATATTTCTAAAAAGCCTGGCTCTGTCCACAGCCGATGGAACGTACTCACCTACCACCAGCTCGCGAACATCTTTCCAGTGGAGCTCACTCCCCTTCTCATGGATGATGGTCACTGTGATCCGTCGCTGGATGCCCTAGGTAGCAGAGCAGGGCTGCAATTTAGCTGTGGCAATCTATTATTTCCTCTTGTTTGCTGCTTTCTGGATTGTATGGTGTGGGGCGTGCAGGAATGAGAGGTAGGGAAAGGAGGGAAATGCTGTCCACACTGTTACTCTAAACAAAGGGACATAGGACAGGGAGTGAAGAAGAGCCAGGTTCTGAAACGGCTTTAGGAACAGATGTCTAGATTGTATGTCCTAGAGTATGAGAGCCCCAGCTCCTATGCCCAGCTGGGTCATAAGCATTTTTCAGCACTGACTGAATCTACTTTTGATTTACCAAAGGGGGAACCTATATTTCATGGCCAGATCTTTAGTCCATTGAAACTTTCACCCTCTATCCCCTTTAAAAACTTTTGGCTGTGAAAGCACAGTTTGCAAACATGAAAATTATACACAACAAAATGAAAATTGTATAAAATGACATGGGAGCTGTACAAACTATGTAGTAATTGAATGAAACAAACTCTTTTTCAAAACAGCTCCTCTAAAATGTATTTATATATAAAAGCAAGAATATATATAAGCCAAGGTCTGAGAAAGAAACACTAAAAAACAAACATACAAAAAAAGAAAAAACAGGATAAGACAATGTCCCCCCACCCCTGAATCTACCTTAAATGGAGACAAAAAGCAGAAAAACAAAGTTATTATGCTTCTTATTCTGAACTTGTTTTGGTGTTCCCTCATAGGCTCTCTTTTGCTCCCTCATTAGTACCTGGTGAAGCAAAAATGTCCCCTGGCAGGGCAGGCCTGCTGTATGGTCAACCACAGCTGGGATATACCTATAAAAACAGAAACACAAGAGAAAGAAGAAAGACAGAATGCTTACGCTAACTAAGTGCTACTTCATCTGCAAGGTCTTCCCTAGCTGCTACAGTCCCCAGTGGTCTTTGTTTTTCTAAACTCCAATCCCATGCCTTTCTTACCATTTGGGCATTTAATCATACAGCCATTTGCACTTAAATCTTTTCGCATATCTGTGTCTCATCATTCCTACTAGAGACAAATGCTCAAAGGACAGTAACATCCTGTGGCTCCATCCCAGCCCCTACGTAACAGATATTCCATAAATAATGTATAACTGCAACAGCAAGTGTCGGAAGATAAGAAAGAGAGAATTTCAGATTCTAGATAGTTTTTTAAGAATCAGAAAGTGATAAACTCAGTAGAAACTATTACTGTAACTACCTTTCCCTCATAATGCAAGTTATAAGCACATTATACATCTGTCTTGGGAAAGTCAAATTTTTTAAAACAATGTCACTACAGAAAACTACATATAGGATTGGTAGAGCCATTCCTCACACGTAACAGGAATTCAATGCACGTTTCATGGAGATGATCATGATGGTGGTACTCAGCACTTATAAATAGAGGATCATTAGGGTAACATTTATCCGCTACCCTTTACATTAACTGATACAGCCTCTTGCCTGTTTCAGGAGTGGGATCTCTTTTATTTGCATTTTTTCAAAAGCGTTTTAGAGACAACTATAAACCATAATTATACTCACCACTTACTTAACACAGCTCATACAGAGAAAGCAAGCTGATGTTGATCATTTTGATCTAGAACAATAGTCCTCAACTAGGGGTGATTTTGCCCCCTAGGGGACATTTGGTAATGTCTGAAGACATTTTTGGTTGTCATACTGGAGGGGAGGTGCTACTGGCATCTTGTGGGTCGAGGCCAGGGATGCTGCTAAATATCCTACAATGCACAGGATGGCTCCCCACAACAGAAAATTATCTGGCCCAAAATAGCGCCAAGGTTGAGACACCCTGGTCTAGGTAAACATTCTGCCCCCAATGCCCTCACTAAGATTACTAAGATAAGTCTTGACTGTATGATGTGCAATATGCTTCTGATTCCCTTTACTTTGCTGCTGATCAAACATACTATGTAGGGTTTCTTCTCTCATAACAAAGTGCCATTCTCCATGATCTTGCTGTTGCTAACACAAAGGGAAATTATTACTGAATAGTAAACAATTACTGAATAATAAAAAATATACTGAATAGTCAGCTTGCTGATAAACACCTGATTCAAAGAGTAATACCAAGACCACTAAAATTCAATTCAAAACAGGAATCTGACAGTGACAATGATTCATGAACCTGAATATAAGAAGAGAGACTCAAAATTACATTTTCTATTTTTGAAAGACTTAGCCTTATTTCAAAATTTAGAAAGTTGGACTTACTCTCCTGTAGGCTCCAGTTCACTGATCTCAAACCAAACCAGAAGATCATACTTGCTCATGCTCTGGCCAAGGCTGGTTTTGCTCATGGTGTTTAACTTGGTGGCTGGAACTTTTAAAAGTTTTGAGAAAATGTCAAAAGCTGGTCTAAATCTACTAAGTAAAAGTATAAGTTCTAACATCAGTCTTCAACAACACACTTGGAAAAGGTAGCAAGAGTCAGGGGATAAATTTCAATGCAGAAGACCCAGAGAACCCTCACCATCAACTACCTTGGTACCTCTAAATTCAGAGAACAAGGAAAATGGAGAGTCAGTATCTTTCTCCCTCTCAACCAACTGTATCCAACAATGAGAAAACAGGTTTCATGCAGAGTAAATGTGCTCAAAAAACCTCCCTTAGAGTCTCACATTTGGTGGCATGCAGAGCATCGTAACCATGTGGGAGAGACCCATGTGGGTAGAGCCTCACACATCACAGGCCCTCATCAAAGCTGGTGTGGGGGAGTGGAGACTCATCCTCCAACTCAGCAGTTCCCAAACCTCCCTGTAGGTGAGAGTCACCTGGGGAATCTTGAAGGCGGCAAAGCCCAGCCCACACCCCAGGCCAATTCAATCTCAATCTCTAAGGAGGTGGGACCCAGTCCTCTGAGAGGTTTGAAACGCCCCAGGTGATTCCAATGTGCAGACAAGTTTAGGAACCACGAGTCAAATATATAAATACAGGATTCTGTAAATGTTCTTATGTTACACATTTTCTTCAGATTTAAATTCCATATTCTTAACTGTATTGATGAAATAAATTAGCCAAAAACCCAGTATTTCCAAGAATTTCAGATTCTACATGGTGGGCACTTTGAAACACTACAGAGAAATTCTAAAATCTGGCAATACAAAGACGGTCCTCTGCCCAGAATCTGGGAGCACTAGAGTGACAGTCCAATGGCTTGGGATCTAATTATTGCTCAACCACTAACTAGCTATGTGGCTCTGACTGAGTTACTTAACTTCCGGGTGTCTGCTTCCTCATCTATAAAATGAAGATCATGATATTTAGCCTGCTATCTCAAAAAGGTATTTTTTTAAAGATTGGCCTTAAGCTAGCATCTGTGGCCAGTCTTTTTCTTTTTCTTCTTCTTCTCCCCAAAGCCCCCCAATACATAGTTGTATATTCTAGTTGTAGGTCCTTCTAGTTTTGCTATGTGGGACACCGCCTCAGCGTGGCTTGATAAGCAGTGCTAGGTTCGTGCCCAGGATCAAAACCGGCAAAATCATGGGCCGCCAAAGCGGAGTGCACAGACTTAACCACTTGGCCACTGGGCTGGCCCCTCAAAAAGGTATTGTGAGGATCCACTGACACATGTATCTAAAGGCCTTTATGAGTCATACAGCACCATTCCAATGTGGAGCCTATCAGCATTATTCACTCCAGCTGAATTCCACAAGAGTTAGCCATGCTGAACAAGAAAAAAAAATAGGGCTACTGATTCTGGTAGTCATCTGAGGGTCAGAAAACAAAACCAGAAGCATGCAAAAAATAAAATCTACTAGTAAAAATCTTTACAATTAAAAATACTGTTGCGAAGAATCTAAACAAACAAAATAAGGAGCCCCTCAGCCCTAGGGTGATGTGGAAAAGGCACAAGCAGCCAAGGTGCGTCCTAAAATCTCTCTGAAGGAAATGTGACATGGTCTTGACATTGTGCTTAGCTCTACATTCAGCTCAAGGAGCAAACAGAAATGTCAGTGCTTCATACACAGAAAGCCAGGCTTTAGGACAAGCCCCTGAGGATGGTTCTACATCTAAGGCAGAGTGAATTTAGCTACTAACCATCTCGTTTAGGTAACCTCTCGCTCTGGCAGCTGGGAACTGGCAGAAAGAGAAAAGGCGGCAATGTGTCAGCCCCATCCTGGAAGGTGGCAACAGCCGAGGACGCAAGCACATTGGCGTGCTCAGAAAGTGTGTCCAACACATGCACATTCACATAGCCAGATACGAGAAATCGAATCAGTTCAATCTTTCTCTCATGGTCTGATGGCAGGATGGAGATGAGGAGGAGAGAAAGAGAGTGAGCAGGGGGTGGGGTGGGAATGTGGCAAGTGAGCAATGAGGAAAAAGGATGAAAATAAACAAAGAGAAATCAAAACAAGATAAACGAATGTGCAGAATAAATTTAATATGCACAGAAATGCCCAGTCACCTGACAGTTACGGGGAGTTACATACAAAGCAGAGAGATTTAACAGGGAGCTTATCAAAATCTGCAATAAGAAGACCAGAGATTTGGCAGGGATAGAGCCCTATTGTTTCTTACTTCTTATTTTAAATCAGGGACCAAGAATTCTAGTTCCTATTAGATACAGGAGTATGTAAGGACACACACAAGTGTAGCAGGAATTTGAATATGATTTTTATCTGAAAAGTCATTCAGAATAAGAGATGTAGTCACACACAGAACATCATGCAAAAGACAAAGCTAGAGCTCACCTGGCTTGGAGAGTGGCATGGGCGGAGGGAAGAATCGTCGAGATGGCTGAGGTGGACTGCAAAGGAAGGGAGACAAAGTTCTTCAAGACTAAAGAGCCTCATGTTGACACTAATGGCATGTTTAAATCCCCTTTAGAAACAGATCGTTTGCACTTTCAACTGTGGCATAGTATCAGATAACAGACATAACCTCACATAGTAAAACTGGGGCTAACATATTTTAATAAAAGTCCCCTTGTAAGTCATAGCTAATAAAAAAATTAACACTGACACTCTGCCATCATCCAAAAGTCTCCGTCATTGCTCTGCTCACCAATCTTGATGTCTCCATTTAGAGCTTATGATTCATAAAGTTCTGGGTGGTTAGGAGCATTATACATGATTTTCATATTATATCCCTATCATCTCACATTCCTATCCTATTCAAAGACTCTTCTCACAGAAAGATGGTACTCAGGGTCACCAGGGCAAAATTCAATCTTCTCTACCTACAATTAGTAATTAGATGGCTTAGAAAAAAGGTGGTGAAGATTCTAAAGAGAAAACACAGGGTAATATATAAAACTATTATTTAGTTATCTTAATCCCTCAAAAGATTTCTTCCTTTCCAGCAAGTGACAATAACAACATCATCAACAACAAAAACTGTTGCTTATTTGGTCCAAACCTGTTAAGCTCCTGTCCTTGCAGGTGAAGTGGGTGCTGCTGATAATGCCCAAAGACTTCAAATACTATTGGCTTAGTTTTGATGTATTCCACAAATGATTCAGTGACCTCCACTGCAATCTAATAAGGAATAAAGCCAAGCTAGATTAGAGAAAGATCTATTATAAGAAAACTCATATTTTTGCTGCAAACAGAACTTTAGCACTTTTGAGCACCCAGTATGTTCTGGGTATTTTACTATGCAGACCTGCCACACCAAAGGATAGGCGCTCCTCTCTGATTTTCATCTAAAGCAACTTTACTAAGTTTTGGCATTCAGGACCCTCAAGCATCTGCCCCAGCTGACCTCTGGCCGGCCTGCTGCCCTTCTCACACTTATCGTTTCAGCTCAGTCAACCTCACCTGCTGCTCCTTTCGCCTGCTCTGTCCCCTGTTGTGCCCGAGGATTGGCCCAGGCTGCAGCCCTGCCTGGAAGGCCTTTCCATATCTCCATACCTCTAAGTCATTCCTATACTTCAAGGCCCAGCTCAAATAGCGGCAGCAATATGGAAAAATGACTGCTGACTATGTGCCAGGTACAATGCCAAGTCTGACCCTTCTTTTCTTATTTATACTACATCCTTCAGGAAATTCCCCCACCTCCTTTCTCCACCCAACCATCCATCTCCCAAACAGAAGAAGTAACGTAAAGTATCTTTCCATTAATGGAAATAACTTTCCCTTCTCTCTACTCCCACTGCATTTAAAGAATATCTTTCTAATGTCTTTATATCTTGTACTACTGTTGTTTAAATACGCATTTTATTTCCCCTATCATAGTCCTAAGCACTTCAGGGGCATAATCATCTGTGATTGATTTGTGCATTCCCCAGTGGTGTCAGGCACAGTCCTTGAGTACAATAAGCCAATCAATATTTATCATACACACGCATGCTCATATTTATACAATTAAACATTAAAAAGAAAATAGTGCGTTTTGTGTTTGCTTGTTCCATTTTTGGAGTTGTCCCTTCCTCTTCTACTTTAAGGAGTGGATATGACTAGGAAGAAAATAAGACACCGTTTCATGTAATAGTGAAGATCCTGGATGCTAGAACTACATTTCTGTGGGTTCAAATCCCACCACTACCTCATCCTAGCTTTGCAATCTTGGCGAGTGACTTTAACTGCTCTGTGCCTCAGTCATCTCAGCTGTAATATAGGTATTATGATAGTGTATGGCATAAAGGTGAGGATTAAATGAATTAAGATACAAAAAAGCACTTAGAACAGTAACTGACAGAAACTAAGTTCTCAATGAATGTTAGCTATTGTTATGAGGATGACGACTTTTGAACAGAGTTTGAGAGAACCTTCCTAGAGGATATGGAAGGTCTGTTTTCTTATTCCATATATGAAAGAGTTGTAGGAGGTATTAACGGATTAGTCATAGCATCAGCTGCAAGGAAAACAGACTCTAAATCTTAATTTAGCTACACAAGGTATTTAATAGTTTCCACATTATTTGCAACAGAGCAATGTATCTTATGGTTTAAAGGACAATATATTAACTTTAACAAATCTCATGTTAAACATATTTTTTCTAGGAAGAAACACTAAAAACAACTCGCTACATGCAAACTGATGGAAGATTTTATTGGCAAACCAACCCCCACACTACTCACGGGACCCATTGTAATTCTGAGAAGCAGCCTGGCTGCTCTGTCCACTGAGGATTAGCTCACCACTCTGGCCACTCCCTCCATTGTCTATTCTCCCCACAGAGCTCCCCCTAGCACAGCAGCTCAGATCATCATCCTTCCTCTGCTGAGAAAGGCACACATGACGCCTGCCTCATACCAGCCGCTTCAAGGTACACAAACCTACAAAATGTTTGGAAAAAATGAACCTGTCACTTACATTCTGCACATGATAAAAGCCCAGAGGACTTCCTCTGCCATTGTTTTTGAGGGGTTCAGTGGAGAATGCTTCGTCATGGCGATGCAAAAAGCTTAATAAAAAAATAAGACACATGAATTTCACATTAAACAATTTCATCAAGATCTATGTTTTAAGAGCGCAACTTGAATCCTATGGAAAGAGGCATCCTACTTAAGCAGAGTCTTTAAGTGAGCCAAGTTATTTGTATTTCCTTGTCAAGAACATTTTCCACATCATTCAAATAGCATTTTAGATTTTATTTCAAAAATGAGTGAAAATTAACTGACCCTAATCACTTAGCTATGTGGATGTATACGCAAGAATATCTTAGTGTGAAAAATGAATTCAGTGAACTGTTCCTTTGTAGAAGTTTTTTACTGAGAACAAAAATTATGAAATCATTTTGTGTAGGAAAGATCTAGCAGATGCAAGTTTCTATAAGGCAGTACCAAAGCCTGTGTTTGGCATACTTGCCTAGAGTCTAAGACCAGCTAAGAGCAGATTCAAATGTCACCTCTTCCAGGAAGTCTTCCCTGACTCATCCAAACAGTTCTGTGTTCCCACAGCACTAGGGACCTATTTTTTTTCCATAGCAATGATTTCACTGTTTATAATAATGTATTTATACACCTATCTCCCCAAAAGAGAGTGAGTGTCTCCTATAGGGCTCAAAATACAGAAGAAACTCCTGAAATATTTGTTGAATCAGTAGGCTATATTTATTCATTCTCACAAGTAGTGAGATTTTATTGTTCTCTCTTTCTATTATTAGTCTGAAATAAAAAGTGGAGAATTAAAAAATACTCAATACAAAGATTTACTGTCAGATAGAAAATATCCATCAGAATAACATTCCATACCCAGCAAGAAAGAAGGGAGAAAAAGAAAATGAACAGAGAATAGAGGGACCAGGAGTATGAACTCCTTGTCTTCCAAGGTAGTTCAGTGAGTCTGAGGAGAGTGGTGTACTTTTGCTGGGCATTCCAAATCACCGATGTCACGTGTTGCTGGCATTGTAGCATTCTGTTACATGTACCTTTATAAAACTATTTTCTTTCTTCTCATTCTTCTCCTTACCTCTCTCCCTCTCCTTCTCTTACTTCTTACTCCTTTTTTTTTTTCTTCCAATTTTTTCCTCTCTGGACCATACACTGTACCTGCCAGAGGCCCCATGGGCATTAGCTGATCTCTGATCTACACTCTTCCACTGGTCTGCTTGGAGCAGGTACAAATATCCTGGGGTTCCACACTGGTGACACATGAAATCATTCACATTGCTCTACAGCTGTGTCTTTCTCAGAGGCCAGATGAGAGTCTATAAAAACCCAAGAAGAATTTGAGTCTTCTTTCAACAGGAGTCAACACGCCCTTTCCTCCAGAGCTAACGCCAGGTCGAGATACGGCTCTCTTAGGAAATACTGCTCTCTTAGGGAGATTTCAGGGCAAAAGTCAACACACCACTATTGCCCTTTCAGACGTCAGTTAACCAAATAGATCTTTCCCATAAAACATATCAGTTACCTGACTAGAATAATAGCGAAAGCTTAAAAAACTGATTCATCTAGCCAACTCCATCCCACCCTAAATTTAATGCTGCTAGTGAAAACACATTAAATGGGCAAAATCAATATTGGAAGGATAATATTTCAATAACAATTATGAGTTATAGCAAATGATATTAGTGGCTTACTATGCAGTAATCACTTTAACTCAGGACTTGGCTAAAATTTATATAAAGGCAAAGCTTTATAAACTGCATTAGGACCTCTAAGAAGGCGAAGGCACACACTGAGGGGAGAGGGATGGCAGAACTCTAAAGCAGCCTTTTGGTGGCAGGAGTCGTAAACTGGGCTTCAGGAATGGGGTGAGTCAGACTTCCTTTTCTTGTACTGTGGCCCTTTCTGAGTACTGAAAAGACATATTGATGTTTGGAGGTATTAAAACTTACGATTCTCAAAAATGTGTTTTCCTAGGGATGTCCTGAGAAGAAAGCATCTAGAGTATGGCATTCAAGAGGCTTACAGGCTAGAAAGAGCTTGCATGTGGGTGAGAAATGAAACCTGTCACATCTTCTCTACATAGTACCTTTTTTTCAGTTGATGTTGAATTTTACTGTTCTTTACACTATTTAAATTTTCCTTTTCCCAAGTATTAAATAGGCAAATTGGCAGCTGGATAATTCACTGCTTTCAGACTTATTTACTAATAAGAGATTTCAGCATGAAGAGTATTAAAAAGACTAATAGTCTTCTATTCTAATAAATAGCTTCTTATCTGGATTAGATCCTATATTCTTGGCCAAGGGGGACAGTCTCAAACAGAATCTTCTACCAGGATGCACGGCCATGCTCCTCCCCACAATGAACCCTGTTTCATTCCACTGTAGGTTTCCAGTTCTTACTTCCATCTTGAGTGAAGAAACCATTTTATTTCAGAGACTGGCAGTCGTTTAACTCTCAAGAGTGTTAATATCTCACAAATGTAAAGCACTCTACAGTGCGCAAAGGACGCCACCTGGGTTAAATGCTAGGAGGCAGAGCAAAGGGGTGGCTTACTTGAACTGACAGAAGATATCTGCATACTCTGGGAGGATTCCACTGGCCTGCAACACTGTTACACGGAAAGTGAAGGCACTGCCCAGTTTCAGGTGGTTGCCAATCTCTTCAGAAAACCCTTCCATTACCATCTTACCATCCAGCAAAGTGCTTGACTTCAAATCTAAAGAGGGTCAAATGAATACACATATGGTTCAAATAATGCACACACCACCTTTCAAAGAAGAGAGAATAAGGCATTCTTTCCACTCCTAGCTGATGAAAGCGACTATCTCCCTTGACAATGGTCAATATTTTCCCCCTTTGAAAATGTCCCCAATGATAGTAAACTGTCTACGCACCCAAGTCATTCATTCGGTTGATTTCTTCTGGAGGAGTGATGACTTCAGAACTCTGACCCTGTCCTTCCACAATCCTCAGCTCCTCCAAGGAGAGACCAGAACGAGTCATTGCAACTGAAGAAAAGTCACTCTGAAAACAAGGCAGGGTAGATTAATACATAGCATGGTTTTCCTCAGTTTCCTTATTTATGTTTAATTGCCTAACAAATAATAGAGACTGGAAAATTATGTGGATTAAGAGCTGCCTGAGAAAAGACAATACAATAAAATAGAAATGTTGGGCCTTCACCTTTACCACTGCGATTGTTCGACATGTCCCAAATTCTACTGAACAACCCTGTAGTTACCCATACTTGTTAGTTCTAGGTAGAAGAATTGTTCTCCAGTGTTGAACATCCTCCTTATAAACCTGTCTATTTCTTTCTCCTTCCATAAGGTTATCCTCTTCCTGGAAGCCTTCTCACCTGATTAAAGTACTCGTTATCAAAAGATATTTTAGCTGTTCCCGACTGTCGAATTCCAGAGCCATAATCAGGAGCTTCTTCATCCGCTAAGCAGGAAAAAAAATAAGCAAGGATTGAATGAGACTACAAATGGGGCAGAGGGGGAATGACTCCTATTGGATTACAGAATAAATAGGAAAGTAGCAGAGACTTAGGGTTCAAGAACTTTAATACAAGAGGAGACACTAAAGAACAAGTCTTTTGTATAATAAAGACAGAGACTGGAGCAGTAAAGTCACATGGGCTGCTTCCAACTCTAATCAGGTAAATTTACAACCTCCTTAGCTCAAATGACACTAGTGAGTAAAGAATCAGTTTTATTCTTGATTTTGCCCAAATGTCATACTTAGACATACTGATCCCTTTACTTAGCAAGATTGTATACAACAATACTCAACAAATATTTGAAAATATTAGATTGTACTTGTGGAAAATTCCATAAACTCAACACTGGTGGCTATGCCAGAGATTTCCATGGGGGAAAAGCTAAAAGGTCACTAAACACAGCATAGTGTTTAGAAATTAAAACAGAAAAATTATAGGAAACAGCCACATTCTTTCCTCGGAATGTAGGCTGGATCATGGAAAAGTGTTAAGTATCAGAATCTTGATCCATGCATTACAAAATAGTAGCCAAAGGACAGAAATGTCTAGCAGAAGCACTCTGAGAGAAAATTAGGCAAGAAAAAGTCCTGAAAATCCTTTGTTACTTCTGAAGCAGTTAAGATACATTATTTAAAATACAAATGGCTTTTATAAAGTTAATCCAAGAGTTGTTCTTAATGTTAAAGGAAATCCTTTTGCCCCATTATTCCAAAAGAGCAGTAGCCCAGACTAAACACAATCTATTTATGATACTTGGGAACAATAGTTAGAAAGGAAGCAATAAAAGCTTTCTCTGAGATAGACAAACATACCACAGTTTGTACATGTAACTGAAGTGTGGCCCATACAGAACTGGCCTGCTTTGTCCTAGGCAAAGAATCCATGGCTCTCATTTCAGAAGAGGGTCACCCACCTGCAATGGCTTGTACAGCCACGCGAAGAAATCCCCGCACTTCGCCCTTCTCGCTGACAATGGCCACCCTGTGAATCAGGGGCACAGGGTACAGCAGGTTGCTCAGGTAAACAAATGCTCTAGAGACAGAAACCGGAAGACAAACATCTGAGCATCCCACAGACAGAGAAGCTGGCTTTCAGATTTACTGCAAATATCTTCATGAAACTGTGAGCTGGCTTCTGGGTCTTATCTTAAGGTCAACTCTATGTTCTGTACTCAGACTGTCCCCAGCTGCCTTTTCAGCAGACAATATATAAACAAATGCAAATGCATGGTAAAGCAACTGACAAAGACCAACTGACACCAAATTACTCCCTATAAAAATTACCAACATAGGTAAAAGAGTTCACAATTGGAAGAAGACTTTCAAGATACTGCTCTATGAATACTGCTAAAGTAGGGGAAAGGGAGACTGCTAAAGAGCTTAACTTTTTAACATAGGAAATTACAAAGAGGTCTGTTTTTGTTTTTCCCAATAGATAAAACAGAAATCAGGAAACAAAAAAGGTAAGGAAATGTGACTCAAATACAGTTAATAACTCTAAAATAGACTTCAAGTCACAGCATTATGGGTCTTTATTTTTACTCTAAGAAATGACTATTATCTTTAGGCAGGGTGACTGACACATATGGGCAGAGAGGCTATGTGGCCATAAGTCTCTGAGTTGCGAGCTTATAGGAGACTACAAGGGCATCAGTATAAATGCCAAGGGAGAAGAAGATAGCTGATCCCTAAAGGGTTGCTTTTGCTCCTAGAGTCCAAAACCTAATTCAGAAATGCATATATTAAAGGTAAGTTACAGACCCAATTTTCTATTTCAAATGAACTAGCAAAGTCCTATCACATTTGTACTTTTTTTTCTTCTTTCATTATTTTGTAGCTATTGATTTTTTTTAAAGCAATAAAAACTGGTGATCACAAAGCTTAACCATGTTCATCCCAATTAGTGGATGGGAAATAAAATCTAGTTCCTGCTGTTACTCCTGTCTTCCCACTGGGTATATGCTGATCTTTGAACACAAGACAAGACAAAGAGCAAACATTTGCATCAAGAAATCAAACATAACTAAACATGACACATATGCCTGTCTGCTTCTCTTCCTGCTCTGAAGTCTACTTTAAAACAAAGAGAAAACGAAGATGGAGTGGATTCTTGGGATTTCAACTCAAAGTAATGAAAAAAATTCTGAATAGACAAAATACACCACAGGAAAACAAATGTTAATAAAACTTTAAGAGCATAAATGAAATATGAATGAAGAGGATAACAAAAATAACTGCAAGTGAACACTGAATCAGATCAAGTGATGTCCACTTCCCTTTCAGTCTGCTCCAAAGGCTGGGAGGGCAATGCCAAGAAACAGGGTTAAAGCTTTGTTTAAAAAATTTAAAAATGAAAAGTCTTCTGGAAAGGATTACAAACAAGACTCTCAAATATCAACTACTGTGATAGACTTTAAAGACTACGAATTTGGTATAAGTTACCAAATGGATAATTTCACTTCCGAAGTCAGCACACATACAGACCACCTTCCTTTCTGATTGGCATTCCAGCCAGACATGCCCACTTTCAATGCCTGGGTCATTTAGAGAGCCATCAACGATGCTCTGGTCCTTGCGTGGAGTCTTCTCTGAACTCTACTACCCACCTCATGCCTTTGATTTCACATCTTCAGGTCTTATCCCAAACACCACTCTCTCATGACAGGTCCCCCCAATGTTATATGATCTCCGTGACACACATGATTCCATCATTGCTATGATTTACATTTATTTACGTGATTATTTAATTCGTCTGTCTCACCCACCAGACTGTAAGCCTATGAGGGCAGGAACCATGTCTGGGTTTGCTTGCCACTGTCTGCAGAGGGCCGGACATTACTATTAGTTACTCAGTAAATATCTGGTAAGTGATTAAATATCTATGAACATAAATGAACAGGAAAATGATTTGTCCTTTAAGTGGAAGATTCTGCAGAAAAATGGGTTACACCAGAGATACAGAAGCAAAGCCATCCAACTTTATATTAGGTTGATTTTCAAAGCCATCCTCATGTTGGATATTAACTATTTACTTCCTCTACTTTATATGTGGGATGTCTGCCACAGCATGTCTTTTCTATTTTTAAGATTTTATTTTCTCTTCCTCTCCCCAAAGCCCCCCAGTATATAGTTGTACATTTTAGCTGTGAGTCTTTCTAGTGTGGCACGTGGGACACCACCTTAGCATGGCTTGATGAGTGGTGCTAGGTCCGTGCCCAGAATCCAAACCAGCAAACTTGGGGCCACTGAAGCAGAACAAGCAAACTTAACTGGGCCAGCCGCCCTAGAAGGTGTTTAGAGTCCTGACTATACTTAATTTTTTTTTTTTCCTTTTTCTCCCCAAAGCCCCCCAGTACATAGTTGTATATTCTTCGTTGTGGGTCCTTCTAGTTGTGGCATGTGGGATGCTGCCTCAGCAGGGTTTGATGAGCAGTGCCATGTCCGCACCCAGGATTCGAACCAACGAAACACTGGGCCGCCTGCAGCAGAGTGCACGAACCTAACCACTTGGCCACGGGGCCAGCCCCTATACTTAATTTTTATAGTTATTTTCATACTTAAAAATAGCTATTCAGGGGCCAGCCCCTGTGGCTGAGTGGTTAACTTCGCACACTCTGCTTCAGCAGCCCAGGGTTTCGCCAGTTCGGATCCTAGGCGCGGACACAGCACCACTCATCAAGCCATGTTGGGGTGGCATCCCACATGCCACAACTAGAAGGATCCACAACTAAAAACATACAACTATGTACTGGAGGCACTTTGGGGAGAAAAAGGAAAAATAAAATCTTTAAAAAATAGCTATTCATGGGGCTGACCCTGTGGCATAGTGGTTGGGTTTGGTGTGCTCTGCTTTGGCGGCCTGGGTTTGTGGGTTTGGATCCTGGGTGTGGACCTATACCACCCGTCAGCCATGCTGTGGTGGCAACTCATATATAAAGTGGAGGAAGATTGGCACACATGTTAGCTCAGGGCTAATCTTCCTCAGCAAAAAAGAAAGCTATTCAAAAGCAGGCACTCCTGTTTTTTGTGGGTTTTTTTTTTTGAGGAAGATTAGCCCTCAGCTAACATCTGCCACCAATCCTCCTCTTTTTGCTGAGGAAGACTGGCCCTGAGCTAACATCCGTGCCCATCGTCCTCTACTTTATATGTGGGATGCCTACCACAGCACGGCTTGACAAGCAGTACATAGGTCCACACTCAGGATCTGAACCAGTGAACCCCAGGCCGCTGAGGTGGAACATGTGAACTTAACTACTGTACCACTAGGCTGGCCCCAGGAACTCCTGTTTTTAATTTTATAAAAGTTTACCACTTGAAGGCACAGCATATCATGTTAACACACACACGTTACAATAAAGTCCTATTTGAGCAAATATTAAAGACATATTCTGCCTATGGCAATGACTGTTCCAAAGGTGGAAGAACAAGAGGTACTCTTGCAGATTTCCCTTTCTAGAAAAGAGAATTCTACAATTCTATGGCAGTAGCAGGGGCACTGGCACTGTGACTACACAAGAGCACAATCACTAGACAGCTCCTTGTCCTATTATCAGTACAGAGTCCTTAACCCCAAATCAATGCTGTATAAAAGTTCTCCTTTGAAGTTTTCTAGACTGAAATTTTTACTCTGCATTCTTGAGAGTTCTTATACCTTGACCTAGCAGACTGAAGGAGAACAGGGATGAGAGGGGAAGATGTAACAGATATATTAGCAGAAAGTTCTGTGAAGTTACATCAAAAAGGGAAAGAAATTTTGTCAACATAAAGATAAGAAAAATCAGCATAATTATGGTTCTAGTTACAGCAACAATGTCAGTTCAGGTACTCAGGTCACAGAATAACCATCTTTTGCCCCCTTTTAACCCAGAAGACTAGCTTAAATATTTACATTTCATCCAAAATTATGATGGATGGTTCATAACATCCCAGCATGCCATAAGAGAACAGCTAAAGGGACAAGCTCTTTTCATTTTCATATAAAAATTCACCAGAGGCAGCCAAGGCCAAGAAACAAAATCTACAAACAGAATTTCACAAGAACCTGGAAAATTTTACAAGTAACTTTTTTTGCAATTATGTGCCAAATAGGGGAAATTCAATCCTGTGAATCACAAGAATGAGACAGAAGTTACTCTTCTTACACATACAATGACCTCTACATAACTGGGTGACGTTGCATTATTATCAATTTTGTTTGTAAATAAGAAATGTAGTTAAGGGTGAAAATAAACCGCTATCCTTCACTTTATTGATTGCTATGATTTCACCTCCTCCCCTAACCTTTTTCTTGCAAAGCAAAGTTAGCTTTAGAACCTGGGAACCCAAACAAATAAAAATGTCAATTCCTAAGCCATAGCTCCATAAACATTTTATTTGCAAATCAAAGTAAAGTTGATTGCTTTATACCTACACTTAAATGTGCTATGATTAAAATGAATAAAACTAGAGAGAATAATACATATATGTTAAGTTAGTGACTTCCCACATTAAGCGGGATTCTGACTTAAGTTTTCCACACAGCTGACTCATAATACAAATGCTTCTGAGTGGTACTCTTAACCAGCATATTCATTTTGCTAGTGTGGATGACAGAATCTGAACGATCAAAAAGATCTTTAAGGCTCTTTTTTTTCTATCTAACTCTTCATTTTACACTTGAGAATGAAGCAACAGGCCTCAGCTTAAGTTGGTTGTCCTAAGTTAGGCTCCTCCTGACAATTAGGTCAGTGTTCTTCCCATCATGCCATGTAAGATGAAGCTACCTACTCCTCACCGTGCAATGGCGTAAAACACAGTGAGCAGCGTTAGAAGCTGCGCAACTGGCACCCGGACCAAGCAGTATGGATAGAAACTTGGTTCTAACTTTCAACTCTCTAAGAAGAGGATGGAAATGTACTGAAGGGCACACATGCTATAAAATAAGGAAACCATTATGATCCCATTATTTGTACACGAAACTACCTTTCTCAATTTTAATATCAATCAGCTTCTCTGAAATTCTCAGGATCTACTCCTGGCAATACACGAGCAGAAAACAATATTCATGATTGTATTAATCCCTTTATGTTTATTCATGGAAAAACTGAATAAATGCCCCTTCGCCATTTTTGTAAAACCCCAAGAAAGTCTACTACTACAATCAATAGTCATAACTGAGGCTTTCATTTTTATCAAAAAGGCTTTCTTTTCCCCTATTCCATAACAGTGATCATCGTTTACATTATTTATTTAGTTCTCACCAAGTAACCAACACCAACTATAAGTTAAGTTTTAGAACTCATGTCTCTACTGGGTCAGGAGACTTGCTGCAATTTAACTTTTAGATAACTGGTGCTTAGCCATTTAATACTGACATAACTCCCTTATTTTTAAAGGATTCAACAATGTGTGTTCTAATGCACCAATAGAATTAAATTTAATACCTTAAAATCTGCCCATATTTTTTTGTTAATCCAGTGAGTGTTGCACTGTTGAATCTGTGATTAAAATTACTTCAGCATGAAGACTGGATCGTAGACAAAGACATCAGTATTAGGAGCATGTGCATGAGAGTTCTGCATCACTGACAGATGGAGCCAGAGACAATGCCTCATTTAGGTAAACTAAACTTGACACAAAGCAGTTTCATGGAGCACTGAACAATATCTATTGTTGATGGTGTAACAGATAATTTTACGAGATTCATCATTATAAAGCCTAAAGGTAAAATTTTAGCAGAAGCCAAAGAAAAGACCTCTAGATAGGCTCTGTGAACCTGGCCAAAGAAAGGCATCCATTTTAGACAAAGAGAAAACTTCATGTTCCTGATTCTTTTTTGGACTCATAGACTACGCAAAAAATAAACCTAACACTACTCTTGATTCCACGTTTGTCCTCTTGATTCCTGGTGGTGCCGCAAATCCTTTAGCCTAACCTTGGACTTGCTCTGCTCTCGTCCTGTTATTCCCATATGCTTCCTCACTCACATTACTACAAAAATGAAACAGCAGACCACAATAACATTCTTCGGACCTGTAACATTTGACTCCTAGCTTTAATTACTTTCTCCTCTGGAGTTTCCTCCTTCAGAAGAAAATTAGTGGGCAATTTAAGACCACGGGTCCTCCATGTAGAGTCTCCACACATTGCCATATGCTGTACCGAGTAGACCGAGTACCTCATGAACACTGCCTGAGAGCTCTCTCTAGCCAGATCAGCGTGTCAGGAATTGAACTGTCTAAAGCAAGATCATCCAAAATTGCACAAGGAGCCTCTTTAGAGCAAGAGCTGGTCCCTTTTTGCCTTTCTCACAATAACCTCACCAACCTTCCCACTAAAATGAACCATGGGGATCGGTCGTAAAACGGGTCATGCCCGTCACTGAAGAGATCTGATCCCTCCTCCGTCCCTGCGTCAGAGCCGGTGTCATCCACGAATGCCTCATCATCAAAATCCTCCATCTCATCTTGCTGTTCGTCAGCCAGCTCAGTGATGTCGGAATCGGCCGTGGAAAAAGTGGGGGAGGGTGTGCGGTCAGCAAGGCGCTCATTCACACAGCCGTGGAAAATGGGGGAGCTAGACACCAAATAAGACGCCGATTGACACAGCCAAGGAGAGAGGAATAGTTGGTTAAACAGGAAGCTATAGGTGCCAATAGGACAGAACCCACTGGGGAATCAACACAATAAAAGCAAGTGGAAAAGCCAAAAAGATAAAAATAAGCATAAATCATCTTGTTCAGGTGAAAGGGAACAAGGACTGATCCTTAGAATAAGAAAAGCAAAGGAAATACATGAGCAGAATCTCTTGGATAAATAATGCACTATAAAACGGTGATGGTCTCCATTTCACACAAAAGATCAGCAGCTGGGCCTCAAAGGAGCCATTCGACATTAGGTGAAATAATGAGTTTTAAATCTTTATTTTATGTCATCTTGGAGCAGAAAACAAAATGGATGAAATGGTATACAGCAAAGCAAATATGTGCCTTGCTTGAGTAAGATGTGTGTGGCCAATTCATCTCTTTAAGAACACTACTGTCAGAGTAGGGTGGAAAGACTTACTTCATTTCTACAAAATACTACGACTTCAGCTCCACCTTTTTACCCAGTTCCTTTAAAACTGTCAGAAAGTTTTTGCAATTGAAAAACAATTCAAATTCTGAAATCATTAAGCTCAAAACTTACATTTCTCTGCTTTCTCTAAGCCTCTAGGAACTTGACTCAATATGGACTCACAGAGGCACTATTTGTGTCCATTAAATGATAAAGTAACATATACACAAAAGAGGCTCAAGCGGACTAAACTAAGGTATAGAATTAATTCACCCTTGGCAGCCTAAAGAGAAATGAATGCTTTAAAAAAAAAAAAGTGAGGACATATCAGATCATGGAGAGGCTGCATTCTGCTAAGTTGTAAGCCATACTATGATTTCAAACTGTGCAGGATACAGACATAGGTTTTCTTTTTCTTTTAAATCTATCTTGTTCAACTGTAAAACATTTTGTGAATGAGATGAAAAGCAGGGGAAGACTGTCAATTACTTTGGTTGAAAGTTTGAGACTTAAAACAAATATGCACATTGAATAAAACCAAAGGGAAATATACCAAATGACACAGCAGCTGCGACTGACTGGCTAAGACTACAAATGGAGCTTTCTCATACTCTTTTTAACTTTCTATAATATCTGCTGAGGTTTTAAACAATTAAAATAAAACCAATCATTATTTAAAAAGAAGACATCAATAAACTCACTACATACCTTCCTACAAGTTTGAACCAATGGAACCGATCATAAAATGGATCACTGCCAGTCATAGTGGTTTCGCTTTCGTCTTGGGCACTGGAGGCCATCTCACCTGCCCTGTCATACATCTCTCGCATCAAATCCAGCCTCTGCCTATATAGTAAACATAAAGTGCACTGGGTTAATATCACAAGATTGCATTAAAATTTCACTTTGGAAGTACCTTCCATGCAAGATTAAAAAAAGAAAGCTTCTCCCACCATTTAATGATATTAAAAAAGAATGAAGGCCAAAAGTACAGAAACCAAAACACCCAGTATCCAAAGTGTCTGAGTTTAGAGACAAGCCACCAAAAGTCAAGAATAGCCACCTAACCTCTACCAAGTCGTAGGAGAAATGTAGTTCAATGGTGTGTGACATCTCAAATATACTGCAACAGCAGACAATACCCCATCATGCTAAATGCAAAGGAAGCTACTTATAACTTTCCTGTTTACTATTGATCATCAGGAGATCCAGAACAGAAAAAGATAAGTAATTACGAGATCCAGGAAAGAAAGAGATACTATGAAACTGGAACACTTAAAATGTAAGAGGCTCTATGGAAGGTAAACTTAAATTATATCTGCAAATGACAAAAAGCTGTTTGTGAAGTGGGATTCACTCACTTAGAAATAATCGGATGGATAGTACTCTCACTGGCCAACAGCAGCAGAGAAGCACAGAAAAGGGAGTAATAGTGATATCATAGAAAGGAGCATTTGAGGGCGTCCACTTGAGCAATTCATTATTATTTCCTAACTAAAACAATTAGCTTTATGAATAATGTTTCCATACTTGAGTTTCTCCAAAGACCAATAATGTGTTGCTCCGTTCTTCAGATCCTGGACTTCTACTGCCACCACCGTACGAGGGAAAGGCCTGTCTTCGTGAGTTTTTTCCATCTCAGTGGGAAGTAATTCAGGAGGCAAAGGGGAGTACAACGTGTCAGTCAGCAGAACAAACTGAAACTGTACCTAAAAGGAAAGAATAAACCATTGACAAATGGCCTTTATGTTTTTGGCAAGTAAGCTTCAAAAACGAAGGGAAATAACCACACCCAATGAGAAAGAGGTCAAGTATATAGTATGTGCTCAACAAACAGCTTGTGATTGACTGAAAAAAATGGCCACTTACACAGTAATCATAAAGAATAATTCTAATTTCAAGTTAAGCTATTTACAGACTTTGCTTTCCTAGCCTGGCACAGCGTTTTTGCATAAACTAAAATCTCAATAAATATATTTTGGTTGACTGAATGAAGACTTTTGTAAAATTTATTCAAGAGAACAAAAGGTAGACCCAAGAATGCATCTCTATTCTCTCACTAAGAAGAGAAGGTGGAAACATGTCACAATGTTCCATTTTAAATTCAGAGGATTACAACTAGTACTCTTCAAAATGTTTACTATATGTGAAGTCCTGTGCATGCCTTATGGCATTTTTTTCTCACTACCACCCTATATTTTCAGCAACAAATATTAATTAAATGCTACATACAGCAGTAACAAAAAAAGACATAGTCCCTGTCATCATTTAGTCTACACAAAGAGGGGAATAGTTAATAAATAATTACAAAATGAGACGGGTTGCCAAGATTATGAATGAAGAAGACAGCTTATCCCCATTTTACAGAACTAGAATATAGCCCTAGAAGATTGTGAATTTTCCCAAAGTCAGGCAGTCTGTGCTCTTACCTACTATGTGATATTGCCCCCCACTGTAATCATAGTAATCAGGAGACTGTTAGATAGTGGGACACACAGAAGAATGAATCTAAGAACTGGTGTGATTTGTTGGTAATAATTAAGACAATCAGTAACATTTACTGCCTTGTACCATTTCCAGGAACTATTTCAGCACTTTACAAGTATTCACTCTTTGATCCCTCACAAACTCCCTGGACAGGAGACCCTGTAGCCAAGCCCATTTTGTAGATGAGAGAATAGAGGTACGTGGCTATTAGGGTCAACACAACAAGGAGAGCTGGGCTAGGAACCTGCTGTCTGGGTGCAGAGTGCATGGGCTTGTCCACTACACAAAACTGCCTCTCAGACCCTAGAAGAGCAGGAAGCACACAAGTGCAAACTTAATGGTAGAAAACTAAAATAAAATTGAAGTTTTCAGAAACCCAAAGGAAGTATTTTTCTAATAAGCTTCTCTACCTCCTGGGATGGATACAGTCTTCTCATTTGTAAAATAAGCTATATAAAACAAGTTATTTTAAAAATTTCATTTAATAAATATTTAATTAGTATCTACTATGCATATGTTCCTGGCACATGTATTAAATAAAGGCATATATAAACCTGTTTCATAGCAAAAAGCAATTGAATTCACCCAAGAGAAAGGTTAGTTCAAGATGGGAGCCATGAATCCTATCAGGCTCAGCTTCGTCACCAGATGGTCCATGATCCCCCCTCCCCGTACCTTCTTCTTCAATTCCACACTGATGGCATTGGCCTCCTTCAGGTAAACGGCATTGCCCCAGAGCAAGTCCCTTAATGAAGTAAACTGGTGCGACTTCCATTTCCGGAAGGCCCACTGAGCCAGCTCAAATTCATGTTGTGTCCAAGGAACTGAAAGAGTGAATGAAGCATAGTTAATGGTGATTTCATAACTGTGCAGAAATCACATCCCTCCTCTAACTCCTCTCTGTTATCACATTAAGATATTTTCCAGTTTTTCTACATTTGGCTGCTTTAGTTTTCTTCTTTTCAATAAAGCTTACTAAATTCTGTTGACATTACAAAAGAAGTATACACATTTCAGGATCTAAAAAAAAATCCTACTATTTATTTAAAATAGTACATCAAAGAAATAGATTTCTCTTGCTTTTTTTTTTTTTTTTTTTGGTGAGGAAGCTGGGCCCTGAGCTAACATCTGTTGCCAATCTTCCTTTTTGAGGAAGACTGTTGCTGAGTCAACATCTGTGCCAACCTTCCTCCACTTTACCAGTGGGACACCACCACAGTGCGGCTTGAAGAGCAGTGTGTAAGTTCATGCCCAGGATCTGAACCTGTGAACCCTGGCCCACAGAAGTGGAGGGCACGAAACTAACCACTACTCCACCAGGCCAGCCCCTCTCTTGCTTTTTTTTAAAAAGATATATATCTAATGTACATAATAAAAACTAGTATGTTTTACAACTTCATATATATCTATTTTTCTTTCTAGTACAGGAAAAAAAGGTTATATTTTACCTCAATATTGAAAAATAAAGAATTTAGTAAATAAATTAAGAGTTCCTTCAAAGTTAATTTGAAGCCATGAGACTACTGAGAGGTTGAGTGAAGAAATGAAATGGGATGAACGTTCACACTGTATTATAAGGCAACAACTAACAAAGTTCAAATTCAGCTAAGAAATTCTGGAAAACTTAAGACATGTAGGCATGACTAAGCAATGTGATTAGAAATCTGTCAGAAATGGCTTTAATGTATACTGATATATTCCTTCACTGGGGAATCCCTGACATAAACCATAAACCAGCAAATAGAACAGAATATCTTAAAGATTAAGCTCTATATTTATTTGCAACATATATGTGAACTTCATATGTACAGTGATATGAGACAGTATATTTACATTGCCCAAGGGATTTATATGAAGAATGTGCTCAGAAATCTTGTGTTCTAAGGAACTCTATCAGTCCTACTCTCACCTCATAGACTATAGCCTGGATTCTCAGCATTGAGCATCTTTTAAATCATCTTTAAATTGGCTCCGTAAAATGTCAATAAATGGTAGGGTCAACTATGATCAAATCCAGTTCTGATCACAAATCCAAAAGATATACATAGGAAAGTTTCAGTCTCTAGATTTTACCTTCTTCCTCCTCCTCTTCTTCCTCTTCAGTTGTTTCTGCAGCTAGGGATCGGGTCTCAACCTGCTTCTGCAAGGCCTGCAATTTACTTTCATAGTCCTGAATGAAAAGAAAGGAGATAACATGTAGGAGAGAGGAAATATGAGGTGAGGAAAAGAGAAGCGAAAGGCATATTGGGGAACGTAAACAAAGCAAAAGACAAAGAAAAGAAGACAGATGCAGGGAACAACAATAAAAAGACAAGTACAGAGAAACACTTAGGAAAAAACTGCAAAGCACACAAGATAGTCTGTAATGGATAAATGCTAAAAAAAAAATTTAACTGCAGTCTCTCTCTGCTCCCTCAGACTCAAGAGTTCTTTACTTGGGGTTGTGGCAGAGAAAGATGGGATTCTGAGGGGAAAAATGCATGAGTCCCATATTAAATGCTAAAATATATTTAAGAAGTACCTTTGCAAATCAAGGAGTTTCAGAGAAAAAGAATATTAGAAAAGATTAAATTCACCAGTGTCACCAACAGTTCAATTATCTAGCTGTTTGGATGGGAAAAATTTAGGACTGTAGACTTCTGAAACTCCCTATGGATGAAATATTACCATTTTTGCAGCTGTAAGATGAACTCAGCCTTCAGGTAACTAAAAGATCACAGAGCAATTAGGACTGAAATAGCCTATACATCTGATTTAGTTATCCAAGAAAGATATTTTATTTTAAAATATACTATTATAATACAAAATGTATTACTATAATACAAATCAGATTTATCCTTCATTTCTCCATCTACTCCATGCATTCTCAATGAGGGTGATTTTACCCTGAAGAGGACAAAAAATGATTCTTGAGGGATAAAAAAACTTACTTTTTATGTATAGAGTACAAATATACATACAGTATGTAAACAGATATACCATATGTCTGAGTTATTAAAATTTCATGGTGGGAAGAGATTAGGGAAAAAATGTCCAAAAAGGTTCCTTGGAGTGTTAATGAAAAAAACCTTGCACTTTTTGAAAATAAAACAAGAAGGTTAAGATAAGACACTTCACATAAGAAAATCCCAAATCACAGTACAAGTAGAGCATTTTAATATACATTGCCTGGGTTTCCTGCTTCTTTGGGAGTGACCTGATTACAGGCTGTCGTGAGACAAAGGTTTAGGTATGACCCTGTACAGTTTTCAAACAGAGCTCTCCCAGTCACAAATCAACATTCTATGCATTATAGAGGACCACTGAAAGCCTCTTAGCACAATGCTAAGAAGGATGCAAATATTCTCAAGGCTCTAGTCATTTATCATTTAGTCTCACAAAGGAAGCTTTCTTTCTAGCAGTGACCAAGAGCCAGTGACACAGCTTCATTAGATATTTAAACAAACCTTTTAGGAGACTATATACTATGGCAAAAAAAGAGACAAATATTAAAACTAGCAGGTAAATGACTTGGGTTTTGCTCCTGGCATCTGCTCGTACTAGTCTTTATAATCCTGGGAAAGTTAAATCCTCTCTACATCTCACTTTTATCATCTTTAAAATGAAGACTTTAATATTTGACCTGCCTATTGCTCGAGAGTGCAGGAAGGACCAAATAACGAACTATTTAAAAACATATGTGGGGAGGTCGGCCCCGTGGCTGAGTGGTTAAGTTCGCACACTCCACTTCGGCAGCCCAGGGTTTCGCCGGTTTGGATCCTGGGCACAGACATGGCACCACTCACAAGGCCATGCTGAGGCGGTGTCCCACGTGCCATAACTAGAAGGACCCACAACTAAAATATACAGCTATGGGGGAAGCCTGGTGGCGCAGAAGTTAAGTTTGCACGTTCTGCTTTGGCAGCCCTGGGTTCGCCGATTTGGATCCCGTGTGCGGACATGGCACCACTTGTCAAGCCATGTTGTGGCAGGCGTCCCACATATAAAGTAGAGGAAGATGGGAAGAGATGTTAGCTCAGGGCCAGTCTTCCTCAGCAAAAACAAAGAGGAGGATTGGCAGCAGATTTAGCTCAGGGCTAATCTTCCTCAAAAAAAAAAGTAAAATATACAGCTATGTACTGCGGGGATTTGGGGAGAAGAAGCAAAAAAAAAAAAGAAGACTGGCAACAGTTGTTAGCTCAGGTGCCAATCTTTAAAAAAAAACACACACGTGGGTGCTGGCCTGGTGGCATAGTGGTTAAGTTCACGCACTCCACTTCCGCAGCCCGGGGTTTGCAGGTTTGGATCCCCTGCGCAGACCCAGCACCACTCATCAAGCCATGCCACAGCAGCATCCCACATAAAAGAGAGGAAGATTGGCATAGATGCTGGCTCAGCAACAATCTTCCTCAAGCAAAAAGAGGAAGATTGGCAAGAGATGTTAGCTCAGGACCAATCTTCCACACACAAAAAATAAATTAAAACACATGTGAAAGTCCTCGTAAATGGTAACACTATTAAAATGACAAGCAATATTTTAAAAAGTTTATTTTCCAAGTATACCTAGCACCTAGATCTTGGTTTCTAAATACACTCCCCACTAAAAGAAACCAGGGCTCCTTGAGAAAATGACTGATTCCAGGTTTGGAGCAAGGAAAGGACAGGGTGAGCCCAGAACACCTTGTGCCAAAAAGCACAGAAGTACTCAAAGACTGACAGGGCCACTTTGGAAGGAAACATACTCCCACGGGCTAATAAATAATAACAACAAAAAATATATAGCACACTGAGTATAAAAAGATCCATGAGTCCATACTGATACTGAAAGAAGAGGAGAAAAAAGGAAAGCTCTTCTTTGCCTGCCCGCCCCCCCTCCAAAAAGCCAGTTAATAAATGCACAGGGAATGACAATTTAAAAACTACCATCTTGCAACCCCAAATGTAGTAACTAAATCAGGCAAGGATCATTTATAAATGCTAAAAACAACTGAGTGAAAGGAGGATGAAAAACAGAATATTCACACAATCCCAAGTGCCACCCCAGATATCTATTAAGAAGAAGGAGAAAGAGCTGGGAAACATCACAATAACTAAATTTACTACATTTTAAACATTACCGATAATAGAACAGGTTGACAATTTGTGTCTACTGATGTGATGCAACGGAAGTATACAATGTCATCTTTAAAGCAGTATTACCAAAAAAGTTTACCTTAAATCTAATCTTGAGGAAACAATCAGACAAATCAGAATGTAGCCTAGATTCTTCAAAAAATACCAATACAACGAAAGATAAAACCAAATGCAATATATAAACCTCAACTGAAGCTTGGATTAAAACACACGCACACTTATAACATTTATATTTTTTAGACAACTAGGGAAATTTGAAAATGGACTTATATTACATGATACTGAATCTATATTAAATTTCTTGGATGGGATAATGGTATTAAGAGTATATCCTTGATTTTAGGAGATACACATAGAAGTATTTAGGAGTAAATTGTTAGGATGTCTGCAACTTACTTTCAAATGACTTATAAAAAATACATTAATATGGGTATACAAAGGTTCACTGAACTATTTTTGCAGCTGTTCAGTAGGTTTAAAATGTTTCAAAATAAGAGACTGGGGATGGGGGAGGTTTTTTCCCCCTAAAAAAAACATGTATTATATAGGATTCTTTCAGTAAAAAGAGAAAGACTGCTGGTTTACCTAAAAAATCATCAGGTGGAAAACAATGTTAATATTTTATCCTAAGAGTTTTTTTATTTTCATTTTTTTCCTCAATTTTTTTATTGCAGTAAAATACACATAACATAAAATTTATTATTTTAACCATTTTTAAGTGTATAGTTCAGTGTTATGAAATATTCATAATATTGCGCAACCATCACAAGCATCTATCTTCAAAACTCTTTTCATCTTGTAAAACTGAAACCATGTCCATTAAACAATAGATCCCCATTCCCCCACCCTCAGCAACCACTATCCTACTTCTGTCTCTATGATTTTTGACTACACTAGGTATCCCATCTAAGTGAAATGAGTTTTGACTCTCTGTGACTGGCTCATTTTTTGAGGACTTCCTCAAGAGTAGGTGTACAAGCCAGTCAAACTACCAATGAAAGATCCTTAGATTCTGACTGCTGACAGTATGAGAACAACCTTCCCTAAAGGCTCTGGCTGTGCTTCAGTGGCAGTAAAGCTGACATAAAAAGACTTCCCAGAATGCTATGGACCTAACCTTAACTGCATTTTGACCAGGGAAAATTTCTATAAGCACTGACAGTCCAAATAGCAACACCATTTCTCGAATTGGCGGCCTCTTCCCCAAACCACGCTGCATAGGAGCTTCCAACAAAGACATTTTGTAGGTCACCAGAAAAATTCTTAAGTGTTGGATTTTCCTACAACAAATGGATAAAGAGATTCAGATCCTACTGTTCTGTTAATTTCATGGTAAAAACTAGGATAATTACAGAAAGTACACTAAAACATAATGTATTTATCAGTAGCTTTTTTGTTTATAAAATGTTCCACCGAGTTCAATATATGTTGTATGCTTTGAGGATTCAATGAGCTAATACCTGCAAAAAGTTTAGTGGTGCAAGTAAATGCTCAATACTATGAATTATTATCTTCATCATCAAATGCTAAACAGATTTAGTAAGATGAGGACTGAGAGAACACCCCCGGATTTGTTACCATGAAGATCTTTGGTGGCCCTGATAAGAGTGGCTTCAGCGGTGAGGTGGGAACAAGAGTCTGATTAGAGTGAGTTCAAGCAAGAATGGGGAGAGAAAACAATAAAAAGAAATAACGGGAGGTAGACAAGTGGGAAATAAGAGCAGAAAACTCTCTATTCCCATGAAAAAGAACAAAGAAATGGAGTGGCAGTTCACAGGGTTCATGGGACTTTTTTGAAACTGGTGAAACGAAGATATGTTTGAATGCTGACAGGAATCATCCAGAAGAGAAAGTGATGTTGTAAAAGAGAAGGGGTAAATGTATAGTAAGTCCTTGGGAAGGTGACATAGATGGAATGCAGGGAACAAAGGCTGGGCTAAGACAAGAGCAAGGACACTTCATCCACCAACAGGAGGGGAGCCGAAGTATTGGTACGGATGCATGATGAATGCATGCAGAACCAGAAGTAGGAAGAAAAGGAAGTTTTCTTCTGATTGC